CCTCCTCCTCCCTCCTCGTCCTCCTCCGGGTGGCCGTGGAGGGGCTTTGGGCGTCGGGGGAATTTCCTGGCCCTCGCCTTCTGCCTTCCTTCCTTCCTTCCTCCTCCGGCGGTCCCTGCTGCTTTCTCCTCCGGGGCCAGGGAAAAGAACTCGAGGCCGCGGGGGTGGGGGTGGGGGTCGCCGCCGCCGCCGCCTGGCCCAGGGACCCCCCCTTCTTCTTCCTCCTCCTCCGCCGCCGCCTCCTTGTCGCCGACATGTCGGGCCAGTCGATCACCGACCGGATCACGGCGGCCCAGCACAGCGTCACCGGCTCGGCCATCGCCAAGGGAAGGGACAGCCATTCCCCCCCCCCTCCATCGGATCCTTTGGGTTGGGGGGTTGGACCCCCTCCTTTGGGGCCTTAGGAGAGCCCTGTCAGGCCCCCTTTGGTTGGGGGGGGGGCTAGAAATGAACGCAACTGGGGGGGGTTGAATTGTGGGGAGGAGGCACGACCCACACACCTCATGTGTGTGTGGGGGGGGCTTCCTGCAAAATCATCACAGCAGGCTCAGTTTTGCATGGGGAATAGGGTAGACTTACAGCCCTGCTAAGGATGATGATGATGATACTCTCCTCCGAACTACAGAGTTGGAAGGGATCCTATAGAATAGATCATCCTGTCCAGCCCTTGCCAAGGAGGCCCCCCCCCAGGGGGTATGGGGTGGGTCGGGTCGAAATCCCAACCTCTGGCTCCGTAGCCAGAGGTCTAAACCACTGAGCTAGGTATCCAGCAGTTCTTATAATAATAATTAATCTCAGAACGGCAGAGCTGAAGGGATCCAGTGGATCCCCGAGTCCAGCCGCTGTCAAGGAGACACGGTGGGGGATCGAACTCCCAACTTCGGCTTGGGCAGCCAGAGACCATCATCTAGATTGGCGTGGTTTCCTGTGCCAGAAAGCTTTGGGAGAGAGGAGCTTCACCTTGGGTGGTGGGAGAGGGCAGCCTTTTCTTTTCCCTTGGGTCCCTAGAAAGAAGTTGTCTTGAACCTCACACCACTTACTACCTGGGCAGTGGAGGAAATGTGGGTTTTACCCTTGAGATGGGTCAGCTTGAGATCCTTTCACTTTTGGGGAAGGTGAGTGGAGAGGAGGTAGACTGTCTTGAGTCAAAGGATTTATTTTGGAATTAAAAGTGTAACTAATAAGGCAGGTAGGGTCAATTCATCAAGAGCGGGCTTAAATCACAGGACGTCAGTGTTCGGACAGAATTGTCATTCTTATTGGGATGGATTTGTTTTTGGGGAAGTTAAAATGCTGTTAGTAAATAGGGAAGTTCTTCATTTTCTTTCTCCTCCCTATTCGGAATCCCTCCTTCCTGCAGTTGGAAGGCATGATGAGGATGATGATCCCGTTTGGCACATCCATATGATTGTGAAGCCATTTATCTACCCACCACTCTCGGTGTTCTTGGCAAGGGTGCCGACTTGTTCGTTGGCTTCCCCTTTTAGTATTTATCTGATATCCTTGGATTGCCTTTAGTGGTTAGTCCTGTTAGGAATCTTTCCAAACGATGTGGATCTTTTTAAGTGTCTGTTGTTTATCTGTTTTTTTTAAAGGCCAGTGGGATATCAAGTGGTGTGAAATACCCTTGCCTTAGGTGTATCTGGTAATACTGGTCTCTGTGGACAAAGTCTGATGGTTCCAGCTGATAAGATAATTTCCTGTTCTTGGGTGCTCTCGGTTTTCTTCCAGAGTAATGGTGGGGGGGGATATCATGGCCCTTTAGCACCGGGTTTCCCAGCCATATGGGTGTTGTAGCCCTTATTAAATAATTTATTCTTTGACCTTTCAGAATGGGATATTGAAATTGTCATGTATGTATGCCTAAGAAACAGGCCTTTTGGTGGACAAACTTTCTCCTTTCTGAGAAGGAATGACTTTACCCCATTAAAATGCCTTTTTATGCACATATGATGGGGAACTCATAGGTTACTTGGCTGTTATAAAAGAGGGTCATGAAAAAAGGTTGGGAACCACTGCTTTAGCAGTTCTGTACATGAGGGAGTAATGATTAATACTGGATCTGCCGAATCCATCTTTGCCATCCATCTGTGAGTCAGAGAATCTACGTCTGTCTCTCCTTGATGATTCTTGCTTTTCTTCAGATTAAATGAAAACCTCAGATGGTTGCCCAAACTGGTCCTGACCCATCAGTTTCTGTAGGACATCAGAAAAAAAAAAGTGGGAATGGGGTTTAAATGCTTTCATAGCTTCTGAGCAATGACACTTGACTGCTTGTGAACAACATTCTCAGCAAAATCAACAAAGTGTGTAAAGCAGAGTAACTTTTCTTTTGTATGTAAGCTCAGCAGCGCCTTTGAGGTTCTTTCCTCCAGGACAAAATTTATACTGACTTTCCAAATAATTTGAATTGAAATGCACCTTTTTCTAAGAGGTCACCGAGTTAGTGATTGTCAAGTGACTCTCATCCTAATGGAATCTGCCTCCAAATAAAGCAGATTCTTGACCTGATGCCTCAGAAGCCTGAAGCCTTCTGTTAACATGTTAACCAGATAAGATATCATGTGTCTTTCCTTCCTTGGAGCTCAGCAGCTAAAATAGTTGGTTGTTTCTCCTTTTATATAAATGGTGGAAAAAACTGCCATCCTTGAAGAGGAAAGTTTTCATTCTAGTGTACAAGCTCATTGTGGGAAAGCCTCTGTCTTTTATCCTTACTCTTTGTTTGCAGCATGTGGCTAATTCTGATCTACCTTGTGTGATTGTTGCAAGGTTTACTGTGACTGAACTTCTTTCAATAACTTAAGTTGAAGTGGATGGTTGTGTTTCCACAAAAGCTAGCAGATTGTGTGATGATTTTTTTTTTAGTGGTCTGTAAAGGTATTGCCTACTCTTGCATTTGTATTAAGGCAATATGTAACTGTTCATTAATATTCCCTGCAGGCAGCTTATTTATCAAACAAAATGGATCCAAATTGTTGACTACCCAGGAATCTTCTAATGGTCTTTTGCTCTAACAGAACCGTGTCAACATGAAATGTAATTATCTTGGTAGATGCATTTTGTAATGTATTTAACAGACTTTGAACTTCAGTGGTGTATGTTTCCTGTTGTATTGGTAAAAAGCTATCAGAGAATTGGGTTTGCATCTGACTTTCAGGCCATTCCAGTGTCTTACTCTGCAATGAAGTGCTTCTTCGCAAACGTGTTGCTTTAATTTTGAGGTTCTCTGTGATCTTACTACGTCAACATGTCAGCCATGGCAAACTGCCTCCATGACAGATATTTTAGAGTCCTTTCTGTATTTTCAAATTGTATTTAAAATGCTGGTATCTCGAAAGTTATTTATACTACACAGAAAATGAGGTCGGCAGTACAGTATATACTCATTCAGAAGCAGTACACTATTTGCTAGCAGAGGCATTTATGGTGGTTGCCATGAGATTAAATATGGATTTTAAAACATTTTTTTACAATGATTTAATAAATTTATTTGACTTTTTGATGTTTTAACACTCATTGTATTTTCCCTCTCCCTAGTCATTTGGGTGGCAGGTTTGTTATGTTTGGTCTGTATTCTGTTCCAGCCCGTCTGATTAATAAGACTTCTGATGGTAGTAAAGTTTAGAAGCTGGAACAGTCAAATGACAAAACTTCTAAATAATTGTGCAGCCTGTGTTACCATCATTGATAGTATTGGTGTCAGATTATTCTTGGAGTCTTTTAAATAAACATGACATTCTGTTGTTTAGAGAACCTGTTATTCTTGTATAAATGTATTGTCATTGAGACCATAACTTACATCGCATGCATTCTTTGAAGAATGGTTAGTATGACAGTCTTAACATCATTTTGTTCTGCAAACAAACAGAAACATTAGAACTGCATAATTCCAGAAGAGTAGCTCTCTTGGTTTGATAAACCACATCCTGTGAGACTTGAAGATTTACAGGTTTATTATTTGAACATTTGAGAACTCAAGGTATCTCATCTTTAGTAACTGCAGTCTCACTCAAGATATTTTCTGTCTGTGACATCCTTTTCCTCTTCCTGGTTTCTGCTTCCTGTGATGGGCTTGTGTTCACTTGTCAAGTTAAATTTACAGTAATAAACTAAATTGACCCAGGGAATCTGGGAAATGGTGAAGTTACCCAATAGCTTCAAATGTGTCAGTAGTAGTCAGAAGCACACCAAATTCAGTGTCTTGTATGCAGATCTGTTAAAACGAATATATGCTTGGTGAAAGCCAGGTGCTAAGCACTTTCCACACCTGCCAGTCTTATGAAGACCAAGAGGAGCCATGAAGTACTTGTGTGACTGCGTAATTCTGTGTTGCACAATTCACATTTCTCCTGGTTTGAAAGTGCCTATTGCTTAAAGTTGACAAAGCAAGGGAGGCTGATGGTTTAGCATTATATGAAATAGAGTGCCATCATTTGAGATATTTCTAATAAAGAGTTTCTCATAAAAATGTATAATTTAGCTATTTTTCAAATTGTTTGGTACATGGTGATTATGGATAAGGTGAAACATTGAACAGGTGGATACTCTGTGCGTTATGGTGGTGTATTAATTCAATGTTTTCCTCAATGTCTGCTTCCTGTACACACACTCTCTCTCGCTGTGTGTGTGTGTGTGTGAGAGAGAGAGAGAGAGAGAGAGAGAGAGAGAGAGAGAGAGAGAGAGAGAGAGAGAGAGAGAGAGAGAGAGAGAGAGTGAGTGAGAGAGAGAGAAAATGTGTGTGTGTACATCTCTATGATCATCTGTTTACCCCTTGAAATTTCTGAAGCAGGAATATACTATTCATTCTTAAAAGTAAAAAGGAAGCTAGAATGGTGTCTTGGGGAGAAAAAGGCTAATTTGGATGTAGAAAGAGGGCATGATCAGAAGCTCAGCAGAATTTATGTGAAGTCTTTCACAAGCTTCAAAGTGCTTCAGTTCTGATCCCATACAGGCATATGATACATCATGTCATATGCACCTGTAGCTGGTCGTTGGAACATGGCAAGTTCCTGTGCTTTATATTTCCCACAGATTGTTTTTGTCGGCTCTAGTGATTCCAATGGATGGTTTTTTTAAAAAACAACAAGAAAAAGAAAGGTGGATTAGATCAAGTCTCTCAGTAATAATTTCTTCTAGTTCTAGAGAGTGGTGTAAATGCAATCATCAATGCACTAAATAGCATAATTAATTGCACTAAATAGCATATTTACACTTTTTGCATGTGAATTCTTTCTCACATCTATGTAGGCCTACTTCTTCCTCTTTCTTTCAACCTAAAGAGTGGGTTTCTGGGCTTTCCAATAGCCAGCATGGATGATGTTTTGTCAGATTATGTAGGAGGATGTAGGACAGTTTTGTTTTGCTGTCCCAATGTGTAATGGATAGGGCGATACACTAGGACTCTGGAGACCAGGGTTCAAATCCCCATTCAGCCATGGAAACTTATTGAGGGACTAGAGTTGGTTAAAAAACTCCTCACGTATCTCACTTACCTTGAAAGCCTTATCAGGGTCACTATCAATCGGTTCCGACGTGATGGCACAGAACACACCATGCTGAAATGACATGTCTGCGGTCGATACTGCAAATACTCATATTTGGGAAATTAGGTCTTCATTTCCATCAAGCAACCTCCTCCTAATTCTCTGTATCTGTTAGAGGTATTTATTCAGTTCAGAGATTAACTGTAGAGCTAACATATATTCACATTATTAAATATTAACCTACTTTTTACAGAAACTTAACATTCACAGTTATTATTTTTAAGACCCAATTAAATAAAAAAAAATCTGTCCTGGCAAGTTTTTCCACACTGAAGGAGAAACGGTCAGATGAAAACCTGCTCTACTGCTGAGAAGAAAATCCTTCAGATTAAAAATGAAGGAAGCACTTAAGCGTGGATTGTGCTGATAACATGTTTTCAGTGTGGTAGAGTCTGGTACATCAGCTAGTTCTGGAGCCTTCATTTCAGAGAGGTTCATATAGCAGACTACATCATAGGCACTGTTGAATAAAGTGAAATTTATGGAGTAAATGCAAGATAGTGCTGTTTGTTCCTTGGTTTACCTCTCTGTGTTACTAAAGTATGCTACTTATTCCTTCTCGGCTGACCCAGTGGGTTGCTTTCTCTCTTTCTCACTCTTTGATGAGAATCTAGCTTCTGACCGCAAGCAGGTTATGCTGCCAGTGGAAATATTTTTGTTGCTAAACACTCTTAGGAGAATAATGTTGATGGTCTGGCATTTGTATTTTGTTGAGCTACGAATGGTGGAATTGCTGGCGCTTTACAGATGGGATAGACAGAGAGAGAGAGAAACCCCATATTGTCATATTGGCCTGCACGCTTGTGTAATGAATGGAATGCTGGACCTTGTTTGAAGAAATCCTGGGCTTGAACCCTGATGACATTTTACTGGGTATCCATAGGTCACGTCATTGCACCACAGCCAAATATAGTTGCTAGAACAAAATGATAGTGTATATGTGGTTGTGAGCATCTTGCCGGAAGCATAGTGTGTGGGTTGAAAACAGGCTCTTAACTTGCACTCAAATAATAGGCATTTCAATAGGGATGAAGGAGGGTTGGCTCAAGTTCAGGTGATCTTCCTCCCCCCCCCTCGCCTTGAGTCTGCAAGGATATAATATTTTCTCATGGAGTTCCCATTTTGCATGCATGGCAATCTCGACAGTCCCTAGTGTTGAGATTGCCATGCATGCAAAGTGGGAACTACAGAAGTTCAGTGGCTTAAAAATGTGACAGTGTTGTGGGCAATGTGTGTGTTTCTATTGGATTTTAGTTGCAATTTCTGCTGGTGTTGCTTTCAGCATTGAATTGCTACAAGTAAAGAAGTCCTGAGTAAATATTGAGACACTCTCTTGGTTTGCAGGAAGAAATGCCTACACTGACTGTTGCATTGCAGCATTTTGTTATGTTGAGGGTCGCAGGCATAGATAATAGGATCCCAGCCACTGAATTTGTCTTGACGTTTGGGCATCATATCTTAGAATGACAAAAAAAGCAAAAAAAAATGTTGTGGCACCTGTAAGGCTAACAGAAGTATTTCAGTGTGAGCTTTTGTGGATTATAGCGCTCTTCTTCAGATGTTGACCGTTTGTGTCTGGAACTGAATTGTACAGTAGTTTACAAAAGCTGTCCCTGAAATAAGATGGTTAGTCTTCAAAGTACTGTATAGCTATCTTTTACTTCATTTTTGTTTTTGTTGTTGCTGAAACAGAGTAACACCGCTTTCTCCCTGAAAAATCCGGGAGCAGAAACTACAGATCAAAAGGTTTGGTCAAAACAGTGTTGCCAACCTGCCAAATTATTCGTTGAAATGGTTTTGTCATTGTTATGCTTACAGGCTTCTTGTTTACATTAAATACAGACAAGATTGTTCAGATAAGGCATCTGTAGTAATACTCGAGAAACTCTTTAAGGGTCCCATATGGAGCACTTAATTTTCTTAACTCTTGAGAAAGCCAGCGTCAAGGTTGGAACTGCACGGTGGCATTGCTGGCCCTTTGGAAGAGCACTGTGTTGTACCTTTCTGAATGACTCGGGTTGGGCAGCAGCTGAAAGTCTGAAGCAAAGCATTTTATGGCTTGTATGTGGAGTGAGGGACAGTTTTATTTCTTTAAAAATCAACTACACCTCCTTCCGTGATTCTAAAAGTTTAATCAGGCCCTGTCCTTTCTCTTCCACTATCCCATTGTTCCCTTGCCTTCAGTTGAATATCTGATTGTCTGATCCATACATCTTTCATATCTCTGATCTGCTGTAAAACAATGTAAAATATTGCAGAGGGAATGTCAGCTAGCATCCTAATCACAGCCCCCCATATTGCAGTATGGGGCTAATGCGTAGTATTGGCATTGGAAGTAGCGACTGAAAAAGTGACTCCAATTTACAGTACAGTATAAGAAATGACTTAGAAAGAACTACTGCTTCTTATTTTGGGCCAATTGTTGGATGTGCTGATACTGTGCATTTCTCAATATGTTTTATAAGGGAACTTGTTGTGTGTGTTTGCATAAGTTTGCATATGCCTGCATAGTTAGGGAGTTTTTGTGTATCTTGAATCTACAGGTTTACTTTTGGTCGAGCCTGTTTTATTCTGTGCTAATAGATACTCAGTTGCCTGAATTTGCTGTTGGGGACACGATACTGTTTTAGCTGCACACTCAAAAGTTTTATCACCCAGTGTTTCGCTTACTTTGTGCCTGGAAAAGGATGATATACATTGAAGCGTTACCAACTGTGTACAGTATGTTGTACTCCAGATTGTTTGAAGTTATGGCTGTGGTGGATGAGAAAGAAGTCAGTGTAGGTACATATTTTTCAAGGAAGCAGCTGGGTTAGTCCGGGGCAGAGGACATGTCATGCATCAGAAGAAGGGAGTTGCTATCCATGAAAGCTTAAATTTGTTTGTCGTAAAACTGTGACGAACAAATTTAAGGTCGTCCTGTATCTTATAATGGAAAGTTTTCAAATGAGAAAGGTAATATTATAAGTTTAGAGTTTGAGCAGCTTTGCGGGTGATGCTAAACTATAATTTACGGCATCCAGCAAGTGCAGGATGTGCAAAAGCGAGCTGGGGGACCACCCACCCACTTGCCATGAAGATGAAGAGAGATAAACCAAACCATAGTTCAGCTTTCACTGACTATGTTGTTATCTGTGAACCGGAGAGAGTGATGAAAAATGAATAGGGACTTTTGTTAGACAAACCTGAAAAACACTCGATTCTTTAACGAATCGTTAGAGTTTCTTTAAACCAAATTCTTGGCAGTGTCGGAAGAGCTGAATGCAAGTCATGCCAAATTCTAGTTCCATGTGGAAACATGGGCCCTGTGACAAAGTGATTATTATGACATTTGTTTTTAGCTGCTCTGAGTGTGTCAATAGAAAAGTAAGATAGAAAAGATAATGGGGTTCACTGCATTGGGGGGTTCCCCTTTCCTGCTTTGATGGTTGTTCTTTATGTAATGACAGAACTGTCCCTGTAGTCCCACAGTACGGTCAAAAGTGAGAGATTTTTGTATTCCTTGGTGTTATGGGGAAGATGAGACGTGAGCCTGCAGGTTTTGGTAGGAGAAATGTGCTTCCCTCACCGTAGCCTAACCAGAGCTGTCCTGCCTTCATTCTCAAATTCTGCAATCCTCCCCTTTGGATATTTTTGCATTCTGCAGATTTGGGTTTGTGCCATTTCTCTGTGCAGGTTTTCTGGCCTGCCCTGTTGCTTAGGAGGCGACAAATTCTCCAGCTACCTTCCAAGAGCTTCGCCTCCCTCCTCCCTGGAAGATGTCGGGACCATTTCTTTTGATCAGATGTGCTCGTTTTAGAGCCGCATATCTCATTATCCATTTAGTCAAGGACAGTGTGTTTTGTTTGCCCTCATTAATTGGGTACACCCTTCTTTTAGCACCTTGCACCCGTGCTTCAGACTCTCTCAGGATTGTTTGCTGTAGCTGTACAAGCTTACTTTTAAATGACAAATGGATACAAGAAAAGGACAGAAACCAAACTTAGCTACTGGTTATAACTGGGTTTCAGCAAGTCAGCTGTTGGCTTCTGCTAGAGAAAGAAACTAGGGCAACTTGATGGTAAAAGACGCGAGGGGGAAGCCTGTGCCTGAGATATTGCTTAGGAAAGTTTAATATATAAGACATTTTCTCTGCCAGGGTCCATGTACATTTTTAATGAGAAAATAGGTAAAATTGGTTTGGTTAGAGGTGACAAGAGAGGGTTCATAAACCTATTTCAAATGTATGTTTATATTTGGTCTGCTCTTTCTGTCACATTTGTGTGTGGTTCTCTTAACTAAAGCTTCTTGTTTCTTATATTTTAGATCTAATCCAATGCACAAATGAAATGAATGTGAATATTCCACAGCTGGCAGATACACTCTTTGAGAGGACAGCAAACAGTAGCTGGGTAGTTGTGTTCAAAGCTCTAATTACAACACACCACCTCATGATGTACGGAAATGAGGTAAGGCATTCGTTGTTTGTTGTGTGATAGAAAAGGATTTAAATAAAATGCTGGCAATTTGTGAATTGATACCTGATAGAAAAGTTTTAAAAAAACCATACTATGGATTTCGTGTTTTGTCAAGGGATTGTACATGATGCCCTTGTGCTCCCTACCAGCACTACATTTTTAATGATTTGATTACTCTGATTTACTTGATTTACTGTTACATATTTCCTTATCCATTCCTTTGTTACTGCTAGCGTTGCATGGAAATTAGCTTCTCTAATAGAATTATGTCCATGAAAAAACTGAAGTAATTTTAAATTGGATTCTTGATTCTTTCGCCAAACAGCGTTTTATCCAATATTTGGCATCTCGGAATACGTTGTTTAATCTCAACAACTATCTGGATAAAAGTGCCATGCAGGGTAAGCATATTCTTTTAATTTCTTTTGAGAAGAAATTTGCAATTTTTGCGATAATTTTTATCTGCAGAATGGATGTTAGGAATTTAGAGGCATTCAATGAATCTGTTAAGCTGCCCCTGGTGATGGCATATGGCCTGTCTTGCATTGTATTGGTTTGATAACTCATCATTAGTCCCTGAGTCTTTTCGAAACCCACAAAAGATGGTAGCATTGCTTGGACGATTGATGGAGATTTCATAAACCATGGTCTATGAAGCTGTGAATATGAATCAGGGCTGACATATTCTCCATTGCCCTTTCCCCTGGTCACATGCTGTTAATTGGCATGAAGATAATCAGCTTGTGTGTGATGGCAGAGTTACCTGGTTTGGATGCAGTTTAAGACCTTTGTATCAAAGCCAGCACACAATAGGAGGGTGAGAGGAATGATCGCTCAGCCAAAGAGCTGCTTCGTGGCTTTGTAAAATATGGTATATGGAGCTTTGTGCCCTCATCTGAACTAAGCAAGTATACGAATCATGCCTTTGAAAGAGAGAGCCATGGTAAAACGAACACTAAACCCCAGAAATTGGATATTTCCTTCATGGTTCTCTGATCTCATGGGTAGGCAGCCTATCCTTCCACATATTGTTGGACCCCTATCCCCATCTCCCCTAGTTATTTGGTTGTGGATCATGGGAATTGCCATCTTGCAATATATATGGAGGGCTCACCAAGCCCTGTCTTATGTTGATTGATTTAAAGGCTGCTTTTCAGTCGGTTCATTTGTCCGTCTGAAGAGATACGTGTAGAATTCAACATTATTGTGTTACATTTGTGTTTCTTTTTAAAATTGGTTTGTGTGCATTTTTGAAATATATTTTTCTGAAGAAAAAAATTCTGTATTTTCAAAAGGGAAGAAAATCAGGTTGATTTTGTTTGCTTTGTGATAGATCCCGTTAGTAAGATTGGTTATCAGCAAACTAAATGTTTCTCAAAGAGAGTGTAAAGTACAGTGGTGCCTTGCTTTATGATCGCTCCGTTTAACGACGAAATCGCATTACGATGAACTTTTTGCAATCGCTTTTGCAATCGCTTTACGATGTTTCCTATGGGGGAATTTCACTTTGTGATGATCGGTTCCCTGCTTCGGGAACCGATTCTTCGCAAAACGATGATTTTCGGACAGCTGATTGGTGGTTTCAAAATGGCCGCCAGGTAAACAAAATGCCCCCCCCGCGCTGTTTTCTGGACGGATTCCTCACTGCACAGGCAGTGAAAATGGCCACCCTATGGGAGGATCTTCGCTGGACGGTGAGTTTCCAGCCCATCGGAACGCATTAAACGGGTTTTAATGCGTTTCTATGGGCTTTTAAATTTCGCTTTACGACGTTTTCATTCTACAGCGATTTCGCTGGAACGAATTAACGTCATAATGCGAGGCACCACTGTAAACCACACTGACCTATTTTTAAGTAAGGTCTATGAAACAGCCTCACAGGTTCAAAACTTGTGGCATTCATAAATTTAAGAGGCAAAATCACATTCAAAGTAGCCACCATCTTATTCATCACTTCTAGAAGAACGACAGCTCCACTGATAGCTTCAGCTGCATGTAAAAAAGGTTGGAAGGAAATGGAATTAAGTTGGAGCACAATTGGACAGAAAAAAATGGGAATATTGGAAGCATGAAATATCTAATTAGAATGCACTTTACTTCCAGGATATGATATGTCCACATTCATCAGGCGATATAGCAGATACTTGAATGAAAAAGCACTTTCTTATAGACTTGTAGCAGTTGATTTCACCAAAATGAAAAGAGGGTAAGAATTCTACATTTATTTTATTTGTTCTTATTTTATCATATTTATATGCCACCGTGCTTCCCATAGGGACCCACGATGCCATAGTTCCAGTATTTGTGTGACCATTAGGATGGCTGATAGAACGAAATTATTGGGGTAGAGTTCAGTTCTAATGCAATTTATGGCAAAAAAAAATGAAAATGAAAGTTTTGACGTGAAATTTTGGAATCTTTTTTGCTGATTTGGTAAACGTCACCTTTAGTATATCTTGAATCCACATAACATGGCTGGTGGCACTGTACCTAGAGTAACAGGATGCATACGGCAGTATCAGAAGTTAAAACCTTTTAGACAATTAAAATATTCAATAAATATTTGAAATAAGTGGGCCTGGAATTGGGAGAAGCTTTTTGAGTGCTGTTGCAGTTCCACTCGTATCAGCAGAACCTCCTCCTACCGGCCAATATCAGAGATGCAATGGCAGAAGAATATGATGGCGTAACTGCTGGTTCCTTATATCACAGGTTCCTGAAATTCTGTTCTACTTTGTAGTGCTTCCTCACATGGCATTGAAGCTTGTAGGCTTACATAATTCTGGTTTGTTTCCTGTTGTGTCTTTGAAGGATCGACGGTGTGATGAGAACAATGAATACAGAAAAACTCCTGAAAACCCTTCCAATTATTCAGAATCAGCTTGATGCACTTCTTGATTTTGATGTAAGCCCTGGAATTTTCCCTCTGTTTCTTCAATCCAGTCTGGTTACAAGAGGGGGAAGAAATATGTTGTCATTTCACACCCTGGTGCTTTAATTTCTTGAAATCTCTTTGCTTTTCCACACAGGCAAACCCTAACGAACTAACGAATGGGGTAATCAATGCTGCCTTCATGCTCCTCTTTAAAGATTCTATTAGGCTTTTTGCTGCCTACAATGAGGGGATTATTAACCTATTAGGTATGTGAAACAATAAACGAAAGTCGTTTAAACATTAAAAAATAGAGATTGTCTTTTCTTTAGTATTTTCTGTGTGCATTTTCCCTTACATGTTATCCTATTCTCCCTATTAGTTTCTCTTTCCCCTTTACTTTCTGTAGTCATAGTCCTACTTCTCTGTCTCCCTCCCTGAATTCCTAACAAGTGGCAAACCACTCTGTTGTGCAGTGCATAGCACCTTCTGCCTCTTAACACTCGTGTGCCGGATCCTATTTCTTTTTCAATACTGTTGACCAGCTGGAATGTTCATAAACATCCCGTAACACATCAGCAGCTAAGCCAATATCCAGAAGGGCATCTGAGTCACATGAAGAGAGTAGCAGCCAAGGTTTCAAAAGCAAGAACATGTCCTACAGTGTTTTAGTTATTGTTATGGAAATTATCTTCTTTTGATAAGGGCAATAAATGGCCAAAATGCTTACTTTAGAAACCTAGCATACTCATGAGTTTTAATCTTGTACACCATTTGTGACAATGATAGGTACCTAAAAGGTTATCCCAAATTATTTTCAACAAAGGTACATTGTTGAATAAATTTCAGATGCCCCTATAGGCTGAAATCCTGTTACTTATCATAGTAAGTTGCACTATAGTGGGCCCATTGAATCAGTAGGGATTGAATGAGTCAACTCCTAAAAGTTCAGTTGAATCAAATGGGACTACTCTAGTGTGGCCTCCCTTAGACTAGTAAATTGCAACTAGTAAGCACATTTGTGTGAAGGAGTTGACTTACCAAATCTCTACTGATTCATTGGGCTTACTCTAGTACAACTTAACTATGTTAAACACAGGATTTCATCCATAGTTTATACTTCTGCTCCGGAAGTGCCTTATATCCTTTTTCACTATGTTTAGATAAATTAAGGCTAGGGTTGCTTTACAGAATAAAGTTTTGATTGTTTGGAAGATGTGTGTAAGCTCAGTTGTCAAGCGCTAACAGGCATTTGCCCTATTCATTGGCTTTTAAAAATATTCTAAACCCGAATACATTTTATATGCATTCTGTAAAACTGAGAACCTTACTAAGCCTGTTTTGAGGCAGTCAGGATCTGTAGATGTATCTTGTGTGATCACACTTTTCTTTCTGCAAGGGTCTTGTGAAGGCTTTTAAGGAATTAATAGGATTAACGTTTTATGGATTTGCTTTTTGGTCTTGACTAAAATTGTGGCTAAGTAAAGTTTGAAGTAATTCGTCACTTACCTGAGAGGTACATTTAGGTGTTGACATGAAAAATTCCTCACTCATTTAGTTGAATTAACAGGGGAATATGTCATCTTCTATCTTTTATCAGACTGCTTTATATTACAAGTTTAGAAGCAATTAAAAGTTGCTTAAGCAGGCACTTTCTATGCATGTCTAAACATATACATACCCTAATTTTAGTCTCAAAGTAGTGCAACGAAGCAGTCTTCCAAATTAAGCCAACATTATTACTAGGTCTTATTCTTTCCCTACTCAGTCCCTAGTTGCTTTTGGCTTCAAAGAATGAGGGGCCTGACTTTCATGAAGCTTCCCACCTGCTCAGAGTTTGATCATCTGTAGGCCAATTTTGCTCACCACAGAGGACTAGACTGATTTACAAGCCTGTAACAAAGATATGGAAGACTTTAAGAGATTGGTTAGAGGTTTCAGCATGCTTTCTTGGCTTTCAGTATTGAAGGTAATGGCTCTCCTGCACTAAACACAGCAGGGCCACATTCTTGAGGTTTAAACAGAATGTGCTTCTGTATGGGAACTGCACCATTAAATGCATGCTCATCGGAGAAAAATGTACTGATTGTGTGATGTTAGTTGAAGGATCTGTGCAAGAATTCGCCTTCTAAGATTCAGAAATACTGCCAGTGCACATGGTTTAATGTGCATGGCTGTGCCTTCAAAATTAGATACGATCTGTTGACACCACAGAAAGTAATAGACAATCTCCTTGTCTTTTAAAGAATGAGGAGGGGGGAAACAGGGCTTTTGTGTAGATCTCGTAGTGACTGAATACACATATACTTGGAAGTACATAATATTATTTCTTCCATTCTTGAAAGGCCTAAAGATTGATTAACTTTTTTTTTATATTGCTGAACTTCAGAAGGTAACAAGCGGGATCCAGGTGTAGAGCCATCTGGGGAGGCTCTGTCGGCTTACAAATAGAAACACGCTGGAGATACTGGGGCTTTCAAACCCACCCCGCAACATGACTTAAACTTTAAACATCAAAATTTCCTATCCTCTGCCATTCTCTTTTCAGTACTTCTGTTTCTGAGTTCTCTGTTACAGTCTTTGATCTCTTTCTATATTTTCCTTTTAATTTCATGTTTCAGAAAAGTATTTTGATATGAAGAAGAACCAGTGCAAAGAAGGTCTGGACATTTACAAAAAATTCTTAGCCAGAATGACCAAACTGTCAGAATTCCTCAAAGTGGCCGAGGTAAATAAATCCAGTATCAGCAGTAATATGTCATCTAGCTCTCTGTACTGGTACAGTCATAAGTGCACAGGGTTGTAACTCTTCCCTCTTCATTTTGTGCAAACCTAGATTTCATGTGATTGTTGGATGTAAAAAAAAACCACACCTCACTATATGCCGTTAAATGGATTTATTTTGAAAAAGCCCGCTGTTACTGATTAACAAGTGTCTAATGCTGAGAAATGTTTTTTTTACAAAAAAAAGTGTTCATTGAAACTGGTTTTCGAGTCTAATGTCAAAATGCTGATAGGACGTGAAATGCATCGGTGCTGCTTAAGAAACATCTTGCAGGATCTCCATATGAATTTCAGGCGAGCAATGGCATTTAGAGTTGTACCAGTTCAGAAAGCTCTTCATGTCCTTCCTGATTCCTTAGCTTTTATGTAGACATTCAGATCCACAGTTCTTTCTTTTCATAGCCACTGCATGTAGTAATGTACATTTTTTTTCCTTTTTTGTGAACCCAGCAAGTTGGAATTGATCAGGGTGACATTCCAGATCTTACTCAGGTCAGTGTACATTTCATATTAATTTAAGCCCTTTGTCCCTTTGTGGTTTTTAACTGTTAGTATTCCATTCTACACATTCTGCAAAGTCATTCTTTTCCATATATATATGTATGTATACACATGATATATGGAAATATGTGTCATTTTCCCTGTGATTTGTTTTGTTTGTATAAGTAGTGTGTTTGAGCATTAGCAAGTAGTTTTGTAACTAAGTTGATCTGGTCAGTAATATTGCTAAAGATTTATTGAGAGTTTATTTTAAAGCAACAGCAACAGGATGAATGTCTTTTTTCCTAAAATATATGGATTACCACCCACTGATCAGAGCGAACTCTTGTTTTGTTCAAATAATGTTTTTTCCCCTTCAGATTAATCAGCCAAGATAGTGAGACCATTCTCATGTGCATAACACAGCTTTCTTCTTAAAAAATCCTCTCCCCCTTAGCATTATAGTTCAGTACTACCCTGTTTCCCCGAAAATAAGACAGCGTCTTATATTAAATTTTGCTCCAAAAAACTCACCAGGACTTATTTTCAGGGATGTTTTATTTTACAGTCATGTCATCTTCTGGATGCTGCACAAGGGTGGAGGGCAGGTTTTCACTTAACTGGGGCTTGTTTATGGGGTAGGGCTTATATTACGAGCATCCTGAAAAATCATACTAGGGCTTATTTTCAGGTTAGGTCTTATTTTCGGGGAAGCAGGGTAGAGACAGGGTGGGTTTGATTTAAGTCAAATCGACAATTTCATTCATGATTTAAGTTTTTAAAAATTGATTTTTTTGACAATTTAAATCAATTTTTAAAAAATTAAATCGTGATTTAAATCAGTTGGATTTTTTTAAAAAAATTGATATTTTTCTTATGCTGGGTAGAGCACATAGAGAATTCAGCAAAGTTATTTTTTGGGATATAATCCATGGCTGTCTGAAATAATCCATCGGTGGCTTGAAATAATCCATGGCTGTCTCGGGGCGGGGGGCGGGTTCCAGCTTTTTTAAAGGAGAAGTTATAAACAGACAGAAGTAAAGTTGTTTCTTAGATCCTGGCAGAAATATACATTGTCGGTCCTGAAAACTATAATTTTCTGCACTTTTTAACTGGCGAGGACACCTAGGATGCAGGAGTGTAGCTGCGTTGCAGCCGTAAAGGGTTGGGAAAGGATAATAGTTCTATGGCAGACCGCATGTTTTACAGTATCTGGAAAAGGTCCAGGTTTTCATTTTTTTAGGATCTCTCCTTTCAAGAGTTTGTTGGTAGTTGTATAGAAGAACTTGATATGGGATCTTGGAAAGAATTGGCCAGTCATTGTTGAAAATAATAGATTAGATAGGTAAGGGAGTGGTGTGACTCAGTGTAAAGGCAGTATTATGAGATGGACTGTACAGGATTGGTTCATATAGATCAGCACCATAGACAGGATGAAAAATTCTTTCTGCTCAACATAGAATTTAGATAGGTTTGCATGTTAAAATACCCCATCCATTGCCTCCGTAGCTCTATTTTTGTTTCCTTTGAACTATTGATGAACTAGCTCTATGAAAGCCGCTTCTGTTTCTTCTTCTACTTTGCATGTGCTTAACCTCTTGTACTCATGTACCTGTGCCACCTTCTGAGATCAACTCATGTGAAAGAACTCCCAACTTTAAAGAACTGCTTAGTTTCTTCATTTTCAGTTGGCCCACCTATTGGGATCAGATTGCACCCCACTCATTGCTTTGTTAGCAACCTGGGCACCCTGTCAGTGTAACTAGTTAAGCCAGTCCCATCATTGTGGCGTGATGCCTTAGAGCAGTGGTCCCAACCTTGGGCGTCCATATGTTCCTGGGCTACAACACCCAGAAGCCTTCACCACCAACTCTGCTGGCCAGGATTTCTGGGAGTTGAAGTCCAAGAACGTCTGGAGGCCCAAGGTTGGGGACCACCAGCCTAGAGCCAAACGTTTTGGAAGAACCTTTCCTTGGAGTCTTTTTAGGGGAAGCGGTGTTCCTTCCTACAGTATTAACTCCTTTAGTGAAATCATACCTCAGGAACGTCAGACTTGTGCATCAGCTTGAGGATGCTCTGGGAGCCGCCGCGTCATAAGCAAGAAGCCACAATTGTATAAAGTAGGCTATTGATAAAAAGAAGGAATTTATTTTTTTAAACGAAAGCACGTATACAAATCTGAAAATACTGCTGTTTCAGACAGCCTCAAATGTGGGGAATGAAATGGCATCTAGGTCTTGAGCTGACAATCCATGTTGAAAAAGGAGCCAAAGAAATGTTGAACTGATCTTTCAAGCTGTTAATGTTGCACCTCTTGAAGCATTGGGTTATAGTGGTATACTTGTCAAGAACCTTTATTGCCAGAATGTCTGATTGCCTTGGGAGTAGGTTTTGCAAGGAAGGGAGAGGTCAGAAATTCAGACCATCAGTTTATTTATTTGTTGACTAAAATTACATCATTTCACTTTCCTGTTGTCTCTTAATCTTTGTTTCAGTAGCGAGCCTTCCTTCCCAGAAATTGTGAGAGTCTCAGAATAATGACCTTTGCCCAACGTTTTAGTGTATACCCCCTTCCTTCCCAGAAATTGTGAGAGTCTCATAATAATTATCTTTGCCCAACGTTTTAGTGTACAGTATACCGTCATCTGTGTCATTTTCTGTCTACTTTGCTGACTATAACATGGGTTTTAAAACTAGGGCTTTGACTTAATTTGTTAAAAAATTAATTGGTTTCCCATAATAATTCATTATGGTCTTTAGCAATAAGTTCATGTTATCTAGTTTGTTTCTACTGGGTGCTAATTTGGGCCTTTTCTCCCCTTCCTCTGTTTCCCACATGAGGAAGTTTCTTGTTTCAAATTTCACTTCCTCATGATATCCAGTCAGGTGTATGACTTGAGCATTATGCTGGCACTGGGAGATTCAGGTTCAAGTCCCTAGTGAGCCATGAAACCCACCTTGAAACCTTGGGTCAGTCACATTTCTAGCTCAGTCTCCTTCACTGGACTGATGTGATGATTGGGGTAGAGTAAGGAAAAGTCATGTCTACTGCTTTGAGCTCATGGAGGAAAAAATTATTTATTTATTTTATTTATATCCCGCCCATCTAGACCGAAGTCTACTCTGGGCGGCTGACAACACTCAAGAATAATAAAAAAATAAAACAGCAATATGAATACAATTAAAAATAATAAATAATTTAGACATTGACCGGAGGGAAGGCCTGCCTAAAGAGCCAGGTCTTGAGTTGGCTCTTAAAAACACCCAGCGAGGGAGCCAGACAAATTTCTTATGGGGAGATTGTTCCAGAGGCGAGGGGCCACTGATGGTGATGTAACATGGGTTTTTAATCATCTAAATGTAATATTAATATTTCTGTTGTAGAATTAAAATCCATGGGCTGGTATCTGTTTTGTTAGTCTCAAATAGAGAGTAGACTCATTGAAACAATTGCTGAATGGTAAGTCAGACATTAAGTACATCCTGTTGAATCGGTGGGTCTGCTCTTGTTTTATTTTTTATTTTATTTTATTTAATTTATATCCCGCCTATCTGGTCGGGTGAGGACCACTCTAGGCGGCTAACCTATGTTAGGTTGTTGAGACTAACCATAAGATACTGACCTTTGACGGTCTTAGGTCTGGATCTATTATGTCCATACTCTTTGTTTTTAACATATTCCTGAAAAGCTTAATTTAGTACTCTCTTCTCGCTGGTTCCTTAGCGTCCTTAGTCCTTTGAAGATATTCTTTGGAAGTCATAAACAGTACTGTACAGGATTTTGGCTAATATTACATCTTTCCATCACCTCCCCCCCCCCCCCCTTTCTCATGCTGTTATCCATCTCTTCCTTCAAGGAGCACCTGGAGTGCTCTTAGTTTACTTTCCCAACAGCCTTGTGCAGTAGGCCTTGTCTTCTTCCTTCAAGGAGCACCTTGAGTCCTCTTAGTTTACTTTCCTAACAGCCTTGTGCAGTAGGCCTTGTTTGGTGTGGTGTTTTTCATCTAATAGGAGTTGTGGGGATGCCATGCTTAGGCTCTGCTCAGCTTCAGCCGAGCCCTCTGGACGCACCTTCCATTTCTTGCAAGTAAGAAAGAGACAGAAGGAGTGCTAGGCACAGATACTACGTTGGTATCAAGGGTTTCTTATTTCTCCAGGCTTTCTGTTCCTCCTCTGTTTATTCACATACGCATCATCAAATTGAGCGTCACAAATCAGTCTATTATGCTGTTTTGGCTTTATCTCTAATTCTTATCAAAATGTAAAGATTAAAGGCAAAGATTTTTTTGTTCAGATGCCATTTGATCTCTTGTGAGCCGCTTGGCAGACTTTCAAACAAGCTTCAAGAATTAAAACTGGTTGCAATAACTAGATTTTTGTATAAATACGTACCTATGGCATTGTTTAATGGAATGCAATTAATTCACGGTATCTATATAGATGAGAGGTCACTAGTCTTAAATAAGGTGCAGATTAAATAGCATATAGGAATTGAGTTTTACTTTTTTTCTCACGTTCACATTACACCTTTTTCTGACATTTCTAAATTCTAAAATAGTCAGCATGGTGAAATGAAAATAGGGTTGTGGAATGGGCAGCTCTGAGCATTATTCTAGCTTCAAGAGAACTTCTTGTTGTCGTCATCTTGTTAGAGAAACCTTTGCATGTGTACTTGAGAACTCTTGTTTGGCAGAGAGACATACAGGGTGTCAGACCCACGTGAACCAAGGGTGTATCCCCTCAAATGCAACCACAGAAGTTCTGTTTGGAATGCAAACATGGTGCTTCTGCCCTCTCGTGAGCATGAAGATGGGTAGAGGTTGTCCCAGGATCTTCATGAAGATCCTTGCCACCTCCCTTGCTCCAGAGGTGAGAGAAAGAACTGGGGAAATTTTTCAGCAGATGCTGGACCAAGGGGCCTGGAAACAAAATGAAAATGTTGTGGGGATCTTCCGGAGCCTGAGCACTCCACGGATGGAGGGCGTGCAGGCCTGTGGATCGCTCCCTCCTGTTTGGGAATAGCCTGCTGGATGCCAGCATGCAGGGGGGTTGCAAGACCCCTTCGAGCGGGGCCTTCCGAGACTGGAGGCGCCTTGGGTTGGAGGTGGAGCCAGACTGACTGGTGACTTCCTCAGGATGTCCAGCCAGTGGATGCGTTTAAAGGTGTGCCACTGCCCTGCAGGCGACATTCAAAGGGAGCTTTTATGTTGGTGCTGATTTTCCTCATAAAAGACCCCCAGAAAAATCCTTGTTAAAAAGCCTCGCATCAATTGCGGTTAACCAATCCTTTGGCTGAATTTTAAGAAGCAATCCAGGGGAGCGGCTGGCGCTCAGTGGCAAGGTGACTTTTCCCTGTTTCAGCCCCCAATTTGCCAGTTAGAAAAGGGTGGTGTAGCAGTTGGACGTTTTGAAATCCTGGCGAAGCTGCGTCCAGTGGAAGTGAAAGAGACTGGGCTTCATGGAACCCTCTCTTGACCTGGGCAGAAGATCGCTTTGTATGTTCCTAATATATGTAGTGGCAGCATAGGGTAGTAGGTAGTAGTTGTGGGAGCATCGTGGAAAATGGGAATGGAGGCCGTTATTCTTTCTGAGCACCTTGCTGTGATGACAAGTCATCTCTCTGGAATTTGGAGCAGAGAAAATTCTTTCTTGAAAGTTATAATGCTTCTGATCCAACACACGTTTGATGGGAATTTTAACTTTAGGCTCCCAGCAGTCTGCTTGAAGCACTGGAGCAACATTTGGCTTCTCTGGAAGGAAAGAAAACCAAGGAGGTTTCAGCTGCCAGCAGGTAAGTTGCCCGTGGATGGCAATTTAGGTATGGATTCTTGCTGTGGCAAAGATGTCTGTCTGGGGGAAAGATCTCTCTCTCTCTCTCTCATTCTCTTCACGTGTCTCAATTGACCTCACATAGCAGAGGCGTTCATCTCTGTTAGTAACAGCCATTGCCAGAACCTTAGCCCTCCTACTCCTTGTCTCTGTGCCAGGAAGAAGAGACGCTGGTGCTAGAGCGAGGGATGGCATCCATCCGACAATGTCAGAGGTGCCAGGGATTCACTGCATTGCAACTCCCCCCCCCCACACACACACAGAGTCTCAAAGTACCTGCTCCTGTGATCTGATTTTCAGAGAAGGGGAAAGAAGCAGAGGGAATCAGAGGCTGGCATGGGGAAAATTCAGGCCTGGCCTTTTCCCTCCTTTCCCCAGTCCCTGGTGAATTTTGAACAGAATCCCCTGTTATCATCCACTTTTTATGTTAGATGATATGAGCTTGCACATGACTTTTCAGATGGCAGTCCTGTGAGTTGAAGACACTTCAGAAATCTGTATTTCTCTTTACTTTGTGTGAGCAAACAATTTGGATCTAGTGAAAACTCTAGAAAACTCCGGTTTCACTAGATCCAGATTTTTTTTTTTACATTTTCTGAGTTTTTAACCAGTTTTTAATATCTTCTTCACTGTGAAGCTTTTTGTGGCAGCCCAAAGCACAATCCCGTGCTTATTTCCTTGGATTCGAGCCCCTTTCCATTGTAGTCCACTGTCTTCCCAGAAAACTGTGGACAGGTTTGGAAGCTTTTGTGACTTCCTGCCCTCTATCTTTGCTATGCTTGAAGAAGTCTCAAGGTGCATGGCTTGAATTCAGGCCTCGCCTGACTCTCAAAGGAAACATTTGGCTTCTCTGGGAAAAGATGGGAATTTGTTTAAGCTCAGAGATGTTAAATGTGCATGTTGCGTGCCTTCTGAAAATTCCAGGGCCAGCACTCTGTCCAGTGCGGTTTCCACGCTTGCCAACACAGGAATGTCCTTCAGTAAAATGGATGAAAGAGAGAAACAGCAGGCCTTGGAGGAGGAGCAGGCCAGGCTGCAAGCTCTAAAGGTACGGTTTCTTTTTTGGAGCGTGAAGGATAAATTGTATACATAGTTTTGGCAACTCTCTTTCAGTAGGTCTGCGGAAAAGACTAAACCTCCCTTTAATCATTAAACCGCACCGTGTTTCTGCAAGCTGTTTTCCTTTGCAGTTTTAAAATATGTCTTGTATCTTCAGAAGGTGAGCCATATTATGTGTGTTGGGAATGGCTGGTTTCATCCATCTGGTGTAGTTTTGTTCATTTCTAACACCGCACCGACTGTATATTCTTGCTTGTTTTAAAGATTTGGGGATGGGGGTTGCAGCTAAGTCTGTCCGACCCTCCTTGAATTCTGCAAAGAGAGAGCGAGAGCGCCTTCTTTGTTCTTTTCAATCCAGATCAAGGAGGTTTGAATGTGTTCGGGCTTTGACTGGGTCATGAGATTCAGCTGAAATTGTCTACTACTGATTTTCCTGGAAAAAAGTTATAAATGAGATTTGTTGGCTGGTTCCAGAATGAGGATGTGGGTTAATTTCTGCAAGTTCGTTAAGTTTCAGTTCCATTTTCATACAGTCTCAGTAATGGAAATGATGCTGCTCCTGCAATTTCTTATTAAATGCTTTCTTGCACAACTATTTATGTGGCAGGAACAGCGACTGAGAGAGATTTCTGTGGTGTCAAATTCTACTTCCACATCTGCCTCGCCAAGCACTTTATCAGGGAAAAGCGTGAACACCAATGCCACTGTTGACATCTTTGCAACACCTGCACCCACCACCAATAGGTAAGAATTTTTACAGCACCAGAGTAGATGAGACAAGGAACCTATCGCCAGAGCTAGATATGGGCATGAACCACCCATTCGTTTCTCAGCTCAACAGGTATTTGGCGCTTCAAAGCCCTGCCTCCCCCGGCAGGCGCCCACTCAGAGGCAGCGGTCTGGCTTCCCTGCCCCGCCTCCTCTGGGCGCTACCTCTGAGTGGGCTCCTGCTGGAGGAGGCAGGGCTTTGAAGTGCCAGACGGATCAATGTTCAGCAGATCAATGAACCAGCACAAACTGCCAAGCCAGTAGTTCGTGCCCATCTCTACTTAGAGTTCTATTCTTCATGCTGAAATGTTTGGGATTGAAAAACTACCCTAAATTAAAGGTTACTAGCTGAGAAAAGTCAATTGGAGTTTTTTTTTTAATTTTCTGTTTCACTTTTCAAGATGTATTTGTTTACAAGTGGAAACCCAGAATGTGTTGTAACAGTTGTGGAGGTCAGCAAGCCCTGTTCTGGAATAAGTCCCTGTAGAATCTCATTTGTGGGTTGCAGAACAGAACTGTAACAATAGTCCTGCAAACAAAAGTAATTCTGTCCTCCTTTTCTTTTCCTGCTAGCGTTGTAATCAACAAATTGAATAATGAGGATTAGATCCTTGCTTCCCCTGATAGGGATACATGGATTTATTTCCTTGCATGAGATTTTTATCACTTAATTAATCTGTTTTCCTCTGAACAGGTCTCTTAAAAATCAATTCACAAATGGGAAAGATTTAACTTTTTATCTGATTCTATGCTGTCTGGTATTATGCAAACTCTAGAGAAAATTACTGTATATAGCTCTGAAATACCTGCTTTTGTACAATAATCCCTCCACCTGTGCTGTGGTTTCAGTCCCAGACAGCTAAGGGCTTCATCCCGGTGAATGGAAATGAAGCCGTTTGCAGACACATCTTCACGCTTTACGTAAAGATCGGGTCGAATTTGGTTACAGTATTTGGCTCATAAGAAATAATTAAATAATGATAATTTAATATATAGACTAGTGAATGTCAATATTTGAAGTTATGTTCTTCTTAAAACCCTCAGCATGCCCAACCTTTCTACGGATCTCTTTGACCTTCAGCCAGCGTTTGTTCCTACAGTACAGAGTACTCCAGCCATAGCAACATCTGTAAGCAGTGCCTGGGGAGGTAAGCTTGGTGTTGAGGCTCAACAGAACCTTGGAATTCTGTCCTCAATAAGCTGTAGCCTTTTAAATTAAATCAGACTGCACTAAATACACAAGCAATCTCTTTTGTCATGAATCTTGCCTTCATTCAGCGATCTGGCAGAACAGCGCAGAGCAAAAAGGTTAACACCTGTTGCTGCACTCGCGAGGCTTTTCTCCGGAACGTGCTGAAATCTTCTGTTTTCACATTTCTATGTTTATATAACCTCATTTGGCGAAGCTGAATTATTATTTTTTCCCCTGACTCGTTTGAATAAAGGCATTAAACTTCAACAAGCTGTCTTGGCTGGGAGTACATAAGATAGGAATCATGAAACACACAAGTACATGAGATGGAGATTAGCTAGTTATAAACTTGTTTTGCGTAGCCAGAGAATATTGCATAATTAGGCAGCAGAGGTAAGAGGCTGTGTTAGGTCGACTGGATTCGTGTTGCTTTTCTGTTTCACGTTGCTGAGGTCAACATCTGTGCATATGAAGTGTATAAACCCGTTGTCAGGGAGCAAACCACTTCCTGTTCAGTCCACTGAAATGACAACCCACCCACAGCCCCTTCGGATCCAGCGAATAGCCAAGGGTCTTGGGCACCTGAACGACTGGTGGTTCAGCCCATGTGGAAACACCCAAATTCTGATGCTGGAACTCCTGCAGCAAAGGGCCTGTGTTTATCCTTTGGGAGCCTGACCAACCCATGCAGCGTTATCAGCTAGCCGTCACGTGCTCAAGGCTGCTCAACGCCATGAGCTGCCAGCTATGAGATGAATTCTGTGACCGTAGCAGCCAGTCAGAGTGGCTCCTCCAGGGAATAAACTGACATCACCTACTAAAGCTATCAGGGAGCCAGCTGAAGGAACAAGGGTGTCTGCCTTGCATGGTGCCATTGAGCAAGCACATGCAAAATACTTTCCCACGTTCATGGGTGTTGGCTGTCATTCCAAAGAATGCTTGAAAAATGAATTCTCTACTTCCTTTTAAAACAATAGAACTTAGCTGGCTAAAACTTTGGGGGGAGACGTTGGAGGCCACACTAGAACCTCAGAGAGGCTCTCTTAATGGGGGTGGAATGATGGCTGCGTGTGTTGCCAATAGAAAGGTGTCTTAAGCCAAAGAGGCATAAGAGGTTAGACAGGAGGAACACCTCTGATATAAGTATGGTGTGTAATGGTTGCTCTGCAGCTCAAAGCCCAAAAGATACACTCTCCTCCTTTGTAATCTTATGAGCATTGTTCTAAGTATCCCCCAGTATGTGAGACAGTGGTCAAAATCCTGTTGTGTTAGGTCTGCCTGCACAATGGGAAAGCTTCTAGGATGCATAACCCATGTGCCGTCCAAAATTGCAGAAGGAAGAAGCAGCCGGTCCCAGGCAATATCATCATTCCGGCTGCTCAGATAGTGCTTCAGCCTTTAAGAACACTTTGTCTTTTTAGCCGTTTCTTATGAAACCAAAAAGTCGTCCTTTCACCCTGTTACTTTCTTTGCTACCTATTTGTTTGATTCCAGATACCAGATTCTAAGTTTAATTTATTCTATTACCAAAGTGTATCTTTAGCGATAGATTTGCTATGTTGGTGGGCTGGACTAGATAACCCCTAGTCATGTTTCCATTCATACAGTTTTTTTTATTCTTAAAATAGCTATTATTGTAAGAATTTGTTGACCATTATAATACTTGCTTAATTCTTTTTAAATATTTTAAATATATTGTACTCACTGTTTTTAGATTTTAAGCACTGTCTTTTAATTGTTGTAAGCTGTCTTGAGTCCTTTTAAGGAGAAAGGTGGGGCAAAACTATTTTAAATAAATAAGCTGAACAACCTGCAAGTGGAAATGAGACTACAGAAAGTTTTGTTGTGAGAAATTCAGCTTCGGCTTATGATGAGCACATCTGTTGCTTCATTTTATTAACTTTCAAATGATACATCCAACACCTAGATAGGAACAAAAACATTCTGCTGATGTAGGTTCATCCTTGACTGCCAGTCAGAATCTTCTTCACGTGATCTGTGGCTTGGTATGCTGTGGACTAGGCAGTGGTTCACACCCTTGGGTGTAGAGTAGTCCCATTGAATTAATGGGGATTTAGTGAATCAACTCCTCCTTAGATTCCATTGACTCAAATTGGGGTCCTTTAAATGTGGCATACACTGGGCTGAAAGACCATTGTAACAGGATCTTGAAATGAAGATAAATGTGGCATACACTGGGCTGAAAGACCTTTGACTGCATTCCAGTGTAACAGGATCTTGAAATGAAGCAAGTTGTGGGTCTCTTGCATAGAAGACCAGACTGTTGTGGTCATTGGTAAAACTAACTAGCATGAGACCACTGGAAAGTGGCCTTGTGCAAAATAGATTCAGTCCTTGTAATTCTGCTTCTTTGAACTCTCCACGCTGGGAGTGTTCTCTTCCTGATTGCTACTTACGTTCTGCTTTTGCTCTCTTTTTCCTACCCCATCATCTACAAGGGCCTTTCTCATCCACAAATGGCTGTGTTGGGTCTCCGCTGCATCTTGACCTCTTTGATATGAAGCCAGTGGAAGAAGCTGTGAAAAGTACCACCCCTTTTGTAGCCTCTTCCTTTGCCTCCACACAAACCACGGAACTGTTCAGCGGTAAAACATCCTCCAATTTAGTTACAAAGGGACGCTGCCCTGTTGCTTCTAGGCCAGAACCCGGTGGCTTTTTACCGTATATGGAAGCAAGATTGTGAAAGGACAAGATTGTGATGGACAAGTTGCCCGTTGGGCGACTGAGGATAAAACCGGCATGCAACGCGGTTTGCCTGTTGGCTGTGGCAGCTTCTATGCTTTTTCTTTCATGTGCAGTAAAAAGCGACAGGATTCTGGCCCTCGTAACGACTTCGTTTAATCTTCTGTTTTTAATCTTAATTTCTCTAATTACACCTGAAAGCTGAACTGCAAGTTCTAATTAAAGAGGAGACTTGTTATTACCAGTTTTAATTTTAAGATGAAGAGAGAAATACCTATGGAAATGTCTTTTGCATTTAATGTCAGGTTTTGCCCATGCATTTATTTTAAGCTGATGGGAAGGAGAGTGAATATTGTTCGCTGTAATTCACTCGATGCTGTATGGTCCCTTCTTAAGTTTAGCTCTGTTGTCTTTCATGAAGATTATATGTTACTGCTCATAAAGTTCTAGGCTTAATTATTTTTACTTTAACAACTTTACAAACATTTGCAGGGTATCCTGTTCCCTCAGCGTCACAGAAAACTGCCTCTTCTACAATCAGTGTGGATTTTGATGCTGTATTTGGTGGCAAGTCATCAGGACATGAGTTTAGAGTTGCATCGGGTAAAGTTACTTAATCACATTTTCTGTGGTGTACATGCATGTGTGTAAGCCAGTATTTACCCATAGCTTTCTAGGGATGTAACTCCAGAACTTGGAAAAATTATGATTTTGGCCTGTTGTCTAAAGCTATCCTTTAGCTAGCATGGCCAGTGGCCATGTTGGTTGGGAGACTCTTGGACTGAGTTGAGACTTTGTAATCTAAGCATTTTACCAGCAGCGAATCCAATAAATAGATGAAGAGCGATATGGTTGCAGGCTGGCCGATTCCCCCTTATCACTTGCCAGTTGCCATTTAGTCGTGGTTTTCTTCCTGTAAATACTGTACAGCTGTTACGTAAAGACCATCTAATGTTGTGAGTAGGCATAGCTCAGAGACCAACACTGCTAGATGTTCTTGGAGAGTGCATTAGATATTTGTAGACACCGAGGAGAGGAGAGAGGATGGACCAATCCCTCTTTATCTCTGTTTGCTACTTACTCAGCTCTCATCAGCTGTCTTCTTATGCCATATATACATGGGAGAAATTTGGCACATGTGCTTTGTTTGGCTAGTATGTAAAATACCATTCGTCATCAAGGCAAGTTCAATTGCTACTTTCAACTGCAATAGACTTATTGAATCAATGTGCTACATGTGTTGATTTATCATTCAGCAGCTGATTTATTTTTAAATGGACTCACGTTTCTAGTTTGTAATTCTGGGTTTGTGTCATCTTTTAGCTGCTTAGAATACATCTGTTCAAGTGGTCTATTTTTAAAAACCACTTTTGGGTCCTCCCCATTTAATGCATGTTATGACTATCTTTCTCTCTTTATCTTTTGGGTATGATTTTCAATGTGGCCTGCTGGGTCGTGGATTCCAATGGGTAAGTTGAAACGTGCCTCTATAAGCTTGACATTTATTGGCTGAAATCCTATTGCAAAGCTTATACTGTGCATAAGGTTACGCTGTGTTCGATTATCCTTTCAAATAACTCTGTGGGTTTTTGCAGCAATTTGTGAACATTTCTCATCAGAGGTCTGAAAGACAGAACCTGTTTCCTGCGCCAGCCAGGAAAAACAAATATTTCCTGCTTACATGGCCCCTCTTCCAGAGTTTTAGAAATATTCACTTGTTTTATTTTGTTACATCTTCAGGGCAAGGACAGCTCACAGTCTTGGGCTCAAGAGATGCCAAGACTTTTGTCTAAAAGATTTTGTTTGCTTTCAGTTGGCGTTTAAATTAACTTCCCAAAATTGCTATTCCATCCTTTTTCAAGTTCAAATTTTACATTCCAATAGCTCATTAAAAATGTTATATGTTATCTCTCCCCCTGCCCCCACCCAAGAATAATGTAGTGTGTAACCTATATTTTGTCACATCTTGAAGCTCCTTCAAAATGAAGGCTGCACATTGAATGATCGGCTTTTAAAAGGCTAATGGCTCAAAATAACTCATCCTGATTTTGCAGAATTATACATCTAGGCATTTCATTCTATGGATTCTGATGAATGCTTGCATCTGTGGATGTATGCAGACTTCTGCATATGCAGTGTGTGTGTTTTTTTTAATGCATAGAGTGCTTGGCTGTTTTCTGCTTCTTGTTTTAATTGAATTATAGTTTAGCATAATATCATATTTTGCATTTTTGTTCTTCCTTTTTTGCCTTTCTTCTCAGTCTTTACAGATGATGTATTACAACCGGCTGTACCAGCACAGAATCAGAGGGGGGGTCAGCAAACTGGGAAAATCCTAGCCAACGACTTAGACTCTTCACTCGCTAATCTAGTGGGAAGTAAGTGCTGTGCCTTTTATAAAACATATTTCACCATATTTATTATTTAAAGCAGCCCCAGTTCTTTATTAAATGCTTCTGGTGTATTCTGTTACAGATCTTGGCTTCGGTGGAACCCCATCCAAAAAGTGAGTTCTCTTTCTGTAATCACTTATTTTAAATTTCAAAATGACCACCTATATGTTGCAAAACTTTACTCATCTCACATTCTGTTTGTTAAGGTATCAGACAAAACAAAACTCTCTAACATGCTATTATGAAATGATACAAAGTTCAAAGAACTGTTTTAAGAGTTTTGACTCAGTCAGTGTCTTTCACGACTAGAGATTGGCCCGAACCGCTGGCTTGGCAGTTCGTGCTGGTTTGTTTATCGGCTGAACTGGTATTTGGTGCTTCCCAGCCCTGCCTCTTCTGGTGGGCATTTGCTCAAAGGCAGCGGTAAGTGGCGCTGCCTCTGAGTGGGTGCCTGCCTGCCAACGGAAGCAGGGCTGCGAAATGTCGGATGTGTTTGGCTGATCAACAAACTGGCAGTCCGTGCTCACCTTTATTCACAACACATCTTTCTTCTTCTAAGGACCACATAAGGTGGCGCTGCCTCTGAGTGGGTGCCTGCCAACGGAAGCAGGGCTGCGAAGTGTCGGATGCTTGTTTGGCTGATCAACAAACTGGGAGTCCATGCTCACCTCTATTCACAACACATCTTTCTTCTAAGGACCACATAAAACGAGTTGTTGTGGGTTTTTCGGGTTCTTTGGCTGTGTTCTGAAGGTTGTTCTTCCTAACATTTCACCAGTCTCTATGGTTAGTATCTTCAGAGGACAGGAGTCAGAACTTTGTGTTCTGGTGCAGTTTGCTTTGGATAGTTGAGTATTTATAGCTGTGGGATCAGCTTTTTTGTCCTTTTCAGGAGACTAGGTGATTATGGTGATCTCTCGCTCTCTCCTCCTTATCACAACAATACACACACAACAAAAACACACTGATCACCATAATCACCCATCTCCTGAAAAGGACAAAGCTGATCCAACAGCTATAAATACTCAACTCCCAAAGCAAACTGCACCAGAACGCAGAATGCTACTCCTGTCCTCTGAAGATGCCGGCCACAGAGACTGGCAAAACATTAGAAAGAACAACCTTCAGAACACGGCCAAAGAGCCCGAAAAACCCACAACAACCATCAGATCCCGGCCGTGAAAGCCTTCCCAAATACACCATATAAAACTGTTTGCCCAGATCTTACGATAAAGAAAAGGTGGGTTTGTTGTTCTTTTTTTTTTTTAAGTACGTGGATATAGAAAATTAGAGACAAAACTTGTCATGCCGCTTCCCATTTGGCTAGAAAAATAAAATATATAAAAGAAGTTCCATAGTGGAAGATGTGTAGAATGTAATTTTGATGAGTTCAAAACATGGTGGTCCCTGTGTGCCTCATCCAGGCAGAAAACCCTACTAGCCTAGTCACCCAGGATCACAACAGCATTTGTGCAAAGCATGGCTGTTGCACAGGTAGAGGGCAAGCCTTCTTCATGAAGGTCAATGTTGGCGCAAGGGCTCCAAGTGGCAGTTTTCTCTGTTGCTGGGATTTCCCACTCAGCAAAAGCTCCATAGGAGATGGCTCGATGCCTTTGAAAAGAGCACATCAACCTGCCTCTTTAATGTATCATAGTGATAGGCATCTCTTTTTAAAAAAAAATCTGAAAGGACTTGTTACGACTGGCATCATGCATGAGAATTTGTGTCCTTTCCATAGGATGTTCTCAGTTCATTCAGATTATAACCGCACTAATAATAATTATTTTTTCCTTTTGGTTTTGCGGTAGGGCCTCCGCGTTTTAAAACTCTTAGAGGCCCCTCAGAGCCACTTTCCAAGAATGTCTTCTGATGTGGGAAGTCAGCTGATCTATCAGCTGATTTAGCAGTCATCCCAGTGCCAGTACAATGTTTGGAGAAAAATGTGCTTCCTTTGCTGCAAGGATCATTTTAGTTCTCTTAATTTACTGACCTAGGCACTTTCTAAAGCAACCTGGGATGTACTGTTAGTAATTAAAGGAGACACAGTGTCAGCAAGTGCTATGTGTAATATTTTTCAAAATCCATAGCGATGAAAGTGGCAGCCAGATGAGATTAGTGGTTAAGAGAGTAGTTCAGTATATTGCTGTAGGATTTAGCTGTTCCTTATATGCAGAAGCTGAACTCTAAATTCACTTTTAGGTCTGATATGCAGTGGAATCAGCCTACAGAGAAGAAACTTACTGGCGGAACCAACTGGCAGGCAAAAACAAGCACCTCAACAACATGGAATACTGTCCCGATTCCTCCTGCTCCACAGATGGTAACATCTTCAGTGTTCAGAAATCTGGACTTGAATTTGTGTGTTGGTGTTTGTTCTCTTTTCTCTGGTTTTTAATAATCTTTCAAGCAGTTTCATAAATACTCCATTTTATGTAAGGAATTTCTAGTTAAAGTGTTGGTGTGACCTTAGGGACTATCAAAAGATTAAACCATAAAATTTGTGCTCGAGGTGCATCTGTTGATGTATCCAATAACTGGCCGAACTTCTGGATAACTGCTTTAGTGTTCTTAGGCTGAAATTCAGTATATTTTCAGTGTCTTTGAATGCTTAAGATACTGGCCAGGACCCAAATAATTTTTTAGGTTTAAACAAGGAACTTGTAGAGTTCTTAGCCAGTAGAATTCTTAACTTCTTCTGAACACCTCATACTGCCTACCCACCTCCTCTCCTCCTTTGCTCGGATTCACATACAGTTGTGCCCCGCTAGACGATTATGTCTCAGAACGTTTTTGCCTACCCACCTCCTCTCCTCCTTTGCTCTGATTCACATACAGTTGTTTCCCGCTAGACGATTATGTCGCAGAACGTTTTTTTGCTATACAATGAGTTTTTGCGTTCGCTATAGCACTTCGCAAAACGGTGTTTCCTATGGGCGATTTTCGCTGGACGATGTTTCGGTCCGTGCTTCGCAAGACGTTTTTTGGGGGGGAGGGACCGTTTTTCGCAAGACGACGATTTTGACAGCTAGGTCTGCACTTCGCAAAGCGGGTGTTTTCGGGATCGCTTTTCACAAGACAGCGATTTTTACAGGTGATCCGCACTTCGCAAAACGGTTTCTCTATGTGTGATTTTCGCAAAATGACGACGATTTTTCCCCACTGGAACGCATTAAACGGATTTCAATGCATTCCAATGGGGAAATGCATTTCGCAAGACAGCGATTTTCGCGGAATGAATTAACATTGTCTTGCGAGGCACCACCGTATTCTTAGCGTACCGCAAATCATAGTTTGCCACTGCATTCAGCCCAGCAAACAAGGGTTCTCTCTTGTCTACAGGGCAAAATTGAATCGTCTTGCGAGGCACCACTGTATTCTTAGCGTACCACAAATCATAGTTTGCCATTGCATTCAGCCCAGCAAACAAGGGTTCACTCTTGTCTACAGGGCAAAATTGGAAGTAACAATCAAACTGTGGTTTGTAGTTCTGATGTAGAAGATGAATTTAAGCCATAGTTTGCCTGTTTGGGTAGCTTGCTATGAAAGGCAGGAAAAGGGAATACACAAGGAGAGAATTTGTGTGATCTGAGCTATACTGTTGTCTTGCATTTAACCTCCTGCTTGGTCAGAAATAAGCCATAAAGAATTGCATCTCCAAGTGGATTACTGGAATAGGGATATAATGTTCCTTTCTTCTTTGATCAGCCTCTGTTCTGAGTAAAAGACAAGCTTGTAACTTCCGCAGGCTTGTTGTAAAGGCTGCCGTACTGTTTCACCTTAGTTTTTGGGAGTTGTGTATTTTTTAAATACTTTTTTAAAGCAATAGCGGGAAGTCAAAGAGGTTCGGAGGAGCAAGGGGGTAACAGACGCTGGTGCATGTACCTCTCTGGACCACCACCGCCTAAACCGCTATGTATTTCTTCATGGGTGGATGTATTTTTCATCCTAAATTCCATGTCAGAAAAAAAAAGTCTAGAAGAGAACATTTTGATCTGGGGGGATCTGCACCCTCTGGCAGGTTTTTCATGCCTTCTGGCTTGTGTACAACAGAGATGGGCAGCTTCAGAGCTTGGCATCAGTTGCTGTGTGGTGTAGAAACGTCAGCGTCTTCGCAGTAGCCTTGGAAGTGAGCTTTAAAAGGACTTGCTCGTGAGTCACATTTTATAGCTCTGATCAGGTCTCAAGAAGTGGTAGAGAGCATCCGCTCCTGTGTCCCCACCCCATCCGTTGTGTTCAAGTGGCAATCTGAAGGGAAACTGTCCATGTAGGCTCTCTCCACCTGAATCTGAGTACAGCAGAACTGGGGTTCTAGTTCATCTGGAGAGCCTACATGGGTAAACGAGACTCTTCCTCTTCAGACCGTCGTTTGGGTAAACAAGACTCTTCCTCTTCAGACCGTCGTTTGTACAGTCTGCCATTTCTGTATGTTAGAAATGAACTGCAGATAGGGCTGCTGGGCCCACATGCTCCTGTGTGCTCCCCACATAAGTTAAAAATCCCTGAACAGGGTTCATATCTTTTGGACGACCCCAATCCTTTCTCATGTGTGGAGAGAGAGAGAGAGAGAGATCTTTTTGTCTCCCAAAGATCATCCAAATAACACAACTGCCTTGGTGGCTTCAGTAAATCCTGCTGTGTCCCTTCTCAGTGAAACTGTAGCTCTAGTCATGGTGGGTTTGACTGAACACAGTTAAGTTCAAGACTAGCTCGTCTTGTTCCTCACTGAAAGTCACTCTTGTTCTGATCTCCTGCCACTCCCAGTAATTGTCTGTCCTTGCTCCTTTTTGCTGTGCCAGAATGGAGTCCCTTTTCCTGGATATGTAAGTTATTTTCCTACGAGCTTGGCATCTATTTTACGTGCTCTACAAAAATACGATGCCTTTTGAATGGCTTTTTTCAGCATTCCCAGTGGAGTTTGTAGCCAAACCTTACACCCTGCCTTCTGTTCCTTCCTTTCAATTAAAGGTACCTGCTCCAGTAACCTATCCGGTGAATACACCTCAAGTGCCTATGTATGGAATGGTAAGCATGTTGAATTTGTAGAGGTGTTCGGTTTTGAATGCTTTACATCAGTGGTTCTTAACCTTGGGTTACTCATGTGTTTTTGGACTGCAACTCCCAGAAACCCCAGCCAGCACAGCTGGTGGTGAAGGCTTCTGGGAGTTGCAGTCCAAAAACACCTGAGTAACCCAAGGTTAAGAACCACTGCTTTACATGCCAAAAGAGCCAGTAAAATCATATCACCAATGAGTCTTCAGTTGTCCTGCTATTGATTTTTCCCCCCATTACTGCATGGTCTGAAGATCCTCAGGTGTCGCTTGGCGTTGGGGCCAGTCTCTAACGCAATTTCATTTTGCCCTAATTGATCCCACTAAATTCTAATTGGGAGGCAAGGTTCCCTCTTAATTACGTAACGAGAGGGTGCCTCTTTCTGTAGGACAGCACCCTTATAAGTGGGTGACGTCCTTTGGGGAAGCTTGCTTCTCTCCGCCACGTCTCTTTCCAGAAGCAAACAAATGCCTGATTGCCGGTCACTTTGACTGTAAGCAAAAAATGAGCAGAAATAAAATTAAGAAAAAGTAATTGTTGGTGCCTCTTTCTGTAGGACAGCACCCTTACAAGTGGGTGACATCCTTTGGGGAAGCTTGTTTCTCTCCGCCACGTCTCTTTCCGGAAGCAAACAAATGCCTGATTGCCAGTCACTTTGACTTGTAAGCAAAAAATGAGCAGAAACAAAATTAAGAAAAAGTAATTGTTATTTCAGTGTATTCCATAGCAATCATATTTCTTGTCTGCATTTTAAAAATTGTTTTGAGACTAGTGTCCTCAATATTTAAGATAGGAGGTCTGATGCTAGCTGGTCTGCTTTAGTCGTGTTTCGTTCTTACTTATTTTATCAACCTGGTTTTGTTGTTCTATTATTTTTGATGCCTTCGGAATCACTTTGTAAAGCAAAAATCAAGGTATCCATAGTTCATGGTTGAGGCATAATCCATACTTATTATATACAGAATCCAAAGAGAACTGAAATATTGAGGATATACCGTATTTTTCGCTCCATAAGACGCACCTTTCCATAAGACGCACCAATTTTTTAGGAGAAGAAAACAGGAAAATATAATCTGTTTTCTTCGCTCCATAAGACGCACAGACTTTCCACACCCCTGTTTTGTGGGAAAAAAGTGAGTCTTATGGTGCAAAAAATACAGTATATCCTTGTGACTGATACATTTCTCAAGAAGTGTAGCTCAGTGGTAGAGCCCGTGCTTTACACCCAGAAGGTTCTTGGTTCAATCCCTGGGATCTCTTGTTGGAAAGAATCCCAGGTTTCAAGGTGAGGAAGAACCATCCCTGCAAGTGTCTGTGGCTATCAGAACAGACACTTGCAGCCTGGTGGTCTAAAGTGGAATATGGTAACTTTGCATGTAATATAACCTGCAAACTGCTATCTGGAGAACTCAGAAATTGCCTGTTCTAGCCCTTGATATGCCAAGTTAAACTGGGGTTTGGCTACCAGTTTATATGAGCATTAGGCATATGAGTTGAAGACTGCTGTATTTATGTTTGGGGTGGATGTGTTCTTTTTCAAGCTGAAAGAGTAATAAAGGGATTTCCTCGTTCAATCATGTAGGTACCTGCTCAGATTGGAACTACGCCTATTATGGCACCCCAGCCTATGATTTATACCCAAACAGGTCTAAGGCCGACAAACCCCTTTGCACCCATCTCTGGAACACAGGTTAGTGCTTTCTTAATAGGTACATGAAATAGTTTTGATTTCTGCTTATCAGAAGCTCTGCATTTCCTTTTGGCTTAGCTAAAGCACTTTATGCATTCTCTTTTGTGGGAGATTGATTCCTTTTTTTGTAAGCTAATGAGGAATTAATGTGTTCTTATTCAGTGTGTAGAAGATGATAGGGAGTACATATTCCCACAGTGGAGAAGGCTGCCCTATGCATCGGTAGGTAGCTTTCCTCGGGTGCCAGAAGAATAGTGGAATCAGGCAACCTTTGGTCTTACTTCCTTGTAGATGGATGACATAGCCCTCCTGTCTAGCTTTCCCACCTAGCTTCCTGCGATGATAACCCTTTGTATGGAATTTTGTTAGAGCTTTCCGAGAGAGCACTTTATTCAGTCTCCAGATATAGGGTAGGGGTGAACTAAATACCAGCCCTGCTTCAGAAATGTTTAGGTGCTGCAACTCTTAGCCTTCTAAGCAGCCAATATACAAAGGACAGGATTCATACTGCAAAACGCTGAGAGAGGAAATGGAAGAAAATTAGGGAAATGGAAGGTAGAAGGGCAGGATATGGGGTAGGTAGAGAGGCACAGTGTTTATATGCATTCTTTTTTTAAAAATATGAATTATGAGGGATCCAGAGGAAAAGGGCTAAGTTGATAGATAATATGATGGGAGTGTGAATACTGATGCAGGTGATGGCCACCAAGAGTCAGGAGGAGATAAGAGGGAGGGTATCGGATAATGAAATATAGCCCTACTCTTAAGGAAGTGTCCCTCAATTCCAGTGGGCTTTTTTTTTTGGCATAGTCTTGGATTAGGATGATCTATCAGGATAACTCGAAATATGTTAATTTAAAATGGCTTTTCAACCAGTAGTAGTAAGTTCCTTCAATAATGGCTACATAGCTGCCCGGCTCTAAACGCTGGCTATTTGTATTATTTACTGAATGGGAGATTTTCATTTTGCTTTAAAGTAAGGGGGGGGGGAATTGGTTTGTCTCTTAACAGAAAGACTAATTTGCAGCTTAAGAAGTACGTATTCTGCTAGCATTTATAAAGTCACGGGTTTCAGACTTGATAATGTGCGGTTATAATTGCCCGAAGGTGCTTATATATTTCACTCTCACTTGAAATTAGATACCTGGGCGGGCTTGTGTTAATAGAATTCTGCTTGTTAATGGCGTTAATCCAATCTGATTTCTTCTGTTTCAGATACAGTTTATGTAGATCTGCCAAAGCAGCAAGACACCTCGACAACCAAATAAATATTGGTAGAAAGAAGGTTGAACTTTTAAACTGCAGTCTTCGCCAGGGCACATATCTGCTCCCCGTACAACAGAAATGACTTTGACTTGCCGTGCTTTAGAGATTCTTGTTATAACAGTCACTATGGTATGAAATCTTGTTTGGTTCTTGATAGTGTACGACTGTTTTCAGTGGAAAGTTTTAAGTGTTGGTGAAGCTGATGGTCAGCGAAGCATGACAAGAAAATTTTTGGCTTTCCTTATTAAGAAAGAGCTGACTTGGGAGTCATTGGCAACGCCTCCATCCAACAGCTAGCCTTGAGGAAGCAAGTGGAGGGCATAGGACGTCTATTTATTCCCCCCCCCCAAAAAAAAACCCCACCCCTCTTTGGTTGATGTAATTATGGCACTACTTAACGAAGCTGAGCAATAAACTTTTTCAGATACTCTTCATGGGTGCCTGACACAATACATATTGTGACAAGAAAAAAAAAATCTCGCATTATCACCAATGCCAGTCTCGCGCGAAAGCGGAACGCTTCGGTCATGTTAAACTAGCTTCTTCTAATTCACAAAAGTTTGTACTGTGAGTTTTAAATGCTGTGAATCAACTTTAAATGTAGGCCATTAACAGGAAAACTAGTCAGTTGGCGTTATAGCGGAGTGTCGTCTAGCCCCATAGAAGTCTGCTTTGGCAGAGACCTGGCGTCTCCCTCTAGTCCGAGAAAAATCGTACGCTATGGAGAAGTGGATGGCAGTAGCTGCACTTCCTTTAGACAGCCTCGTATGTACAGATAACGGCAGCATCGCTTCTGACTCTAGCTAGAGTTCCCTTCATGTCTCAGAAAACCTCCCGTCGGCAGCCGGCAGCGCGTCTGGGAAACTTTTCCTCCTCCTCTTCTTGCCCTTTATTTAAGACGTGGGGCGTCCACATTTTGTGAGTGGTTCATCAGTTACTGTGCTGCACTTTAAGAACTGGAATTTGTATTCTTGAACCCCTTCGTCTCCGTGACCTTAGCTTGCGTCCCTTGTTGTGGACGAGGGAGCGACCGGAGGAAAGCGAAGAAGCGAAAGCGGGAGGCCCAGTCCGAGGAAAAACCAGGGGAGCACGTGTGTAAATATTTTAAACGTTGTAAGTACAAAATTTCAACAGTGCTGCAGATTTTCTCTCTCTCCCTTGTTCCTTTGCAAGACGTACAAAATGCAAATGTTGGACTGCTTTGAGAAACCCGGCTCAGTTTTCTTTTGTGTTGAAAAGCTCAGACGCTGGGCCTTGCAGGCGTTCGAGAGAGCAATTGCCGTGTTAAGGGTGCTTAAGAAGCGTGAGAATCACGGCCTGATGGTCTGCGTCTTTCAGGACTGTCCCCTTACCCTGAAATGATGAGCAAACGATATTTTTAAAAATCACTGCGTAATTTGGCATGTGACGTTCAGGGCTTATTTCTGAAGGGAGATGGCCACAACAAGAGCAAGAAAAAAAGATTGTACAATCCCTGCCCGGCTCCCAAATGCTTTTTACGGTGGAACAGTTATAAAGGCACTCTTATGTCCCTCTTTCTGTCACTGCCGTGATGGGAATTTTTTTGTCTGTTACAGGAGCAATAACAGCAAAAATAATGATGATGATTGGTTAATGCCAACATGAACTTCCTTTCACAGAGCTTGCCACTTCTGGTCGTAAAAATATTTGGAAACGCAGCGCTTGGGCGCCTCCTTCTGAGTTTTTGCCAAGTTGTGGTCCTTGTTCCCCTGAGGGGAAGGGGTTCACAACGGACACAAAGTCCTTTTGTGGGTCAGGCCGTGTCAAATTCTAGAAAACCAGCCCTTCCTCCCTGTAAGTGTCTCTCGTGTTTGTTAATATTGTGCCAAGAATGTAAGGAAAAAAAAAACATTTTTTAAAATAATGCTTGCTTCAAAAAAAAGGATATACTTGTTCTGTCAAAACTAAACATGATTTTTTTTAAAAAAGAAGACTCTTTTTTTACATACATGTTTGCAATTTGTAACCACTAACTTTGTATGGATTAAATGTTGCAAGTGAAAGAAATGTTTTAGACCAAATCTTGGACATGTACTGGCACAGACATAAACTGGATGCATGTAATTAAATGTGGAAAATGACTTTTCAAGGGCTTCTGGCTTTAATGTACTCTCCGGGTTTATCCAAAACCAATATTTAGTGTAGCCCCACACAAGCTGGAATCGCTTACCTGTGGAAGTTGTTTTAGTGAATATTCTAGTGAATTAATTCAGCTGATCCTCATTTTCCAACCAATTTTCAGTCTTTCAGACCGGTTTGGACCAGTACATGTATCTTTAAAAAAAAAAAAAGACTTGGGATTTTATAGTAACTCACTAGAAATGTTTGATTTCAGAGGTTTTGCCCGTGTAAGGTTTTCACAGTGTCAAATAATCAGCAAGGTTTTTGACTCCTAGAGATTATTTTCTACTCATTCATTTTAACTATGTGTAATTTATTGCATTTACTAGCTGCAATCTTCCAGCAGGGAAAGTCATGCAGGACGCAGCCTCTTAGAGAGATAGCAGCGTTGGCTCTCGAGATGAAAGTGTATTTTGATATTAAGTGCTTTTTACAGTATTGTACACTAGTTATTTTTGATTTTAATGGAATGATGATCCAAAGTGCAGTAAGAGCTATGACCTTCCCATTGCAATCATAATGATGCATAAACCCCAGATATTTTCAAATGTTCTGCAGACCACATTGCAGTATAATTTCTATCTGTACTTCATCCTTTAACTTACAGTCTGCACTAAACACACACAGCTTCTGGCCTGTTCATATCTCATTTTCACCTCGTGCTCACAGTTTTTGTATCCAGCAATGCTGGCCCAAGCAACAGAGTGAACGGAGTTAAAAATCTTGTTGGCATGGTTATGCTAGATGCCACCATTGCACAAGGGGATGTGCAGTGCCTTGGCCAAAAATGTTGGGTACCATTTTCACACGGACTCACAAAGTGTGCAACTGCTATTGCATGGAACGTATAACATCTCCCTCACAGTGCAAATGTAAAACATGCCCTGTGCTCTTCACAGCTTTTTCAACAATTTGCATTAGGGATTGTTGTTGTTGTTGTTCATAAATAAACATGAAAATGTCCAGTAGAACCCCATGAATAAAATTGTACACTCGAAACATTTCTGAGTTTATTTAATAGCGGTTAGAGATGGGCACAAACCAGTGATTCGTGCCAGTTCATTTATCAGCTGAACAGATGTTCGGCGCTTCCCATCCCTGCCTCCTCTAGCAGGCGCCCACTCAGAGGCATCGACCTTGCTTCCCTGCCCTGCCTCCTCCAGGCGCTGCTGCTGAGTGGGTGCCGGCCGGAGGAGGCGGGGCTTTGAAACACCAGACACCCTATCAAGCGGATCAATGAACTGGTAGTTCATGCCCATCTCGAAGAGTGGCATCTGGTTCAAAACATTTCATTCACCTTGTACCAGCTGTGTAAATACTAACATTGACTTTCTGGAGGAAACATTTTGCTGAGAGTTCTCTAAATTATATTCAGTTGTTCTTGTTCTGTTAACCAAATCTTCCATGTAAGCAGGGGGGTGGAGGGTTGGGACTCCATCCCAGAGCATTCCCCTTGCCCTGGGGAGGAAGGGGAGATGGCAGCACCCAAACCTTGCTGGCGGTTTCTTGTAGCCAACCTGGGCAACAATGTGCCCTTAAGGAATAGAATTAATAGTTTGGCTGCCAGGCTCTGCACTGTTTTGCCCTGTAAAATATTTGGAGGTGTTCAACTCCCCCGTTTTTCACCCCCCCCACACTTTAGATGCAGGTATAGTGTCTGGCTCCATGCCACAAGATTGCAAGCCATCATTTTGAATATGACCCTAGCAAATGGGGGGTGGTCACTAGATAGAAACTGTAGGGGAAGTGCTTTTTTTGGAGTGGCTGTGCCAGAAACGATTTTTTAAAGGAAAAAAGTACAGGCCGCTGTACTGCTTTCAACTTCCAGTTGGCTAAAGGTTGTTTACAATTATATTAGCAGTATTGTAATTGAACTGTCTGATGACGATGAGTTATATTTATCGAATTCTACGAGAGAGAAAAAGCCAGTCAGGTGTCTTCAGATATTTCTGGCAGTTTATCCTTTTCCTGTTGAGTGCATTTATCAACACACGAAGGTGAGTGCTAAGAAAGTATCCCAGCTAAACCTAGGATGTGCCACTCTTAAGATTTCAGAAGTGAGCTCGATTGCATCGAGTGGGAGTTGCTCCCGGCAGAATTTATATAGATCTGCAGCCTCAATTTTAGATTGGTATTTTCTGCATTAACTGGGTAAGAATAATCATTGCACACCATCGAGACAATTCAGATTTATGGCAACCCTTTAAGGGGGGGGGGGTTTCTAGGTATAGAGCACAATATTCAGAAGTGATTTCCCATCTTCTGGGGTCATCCTGGGACTGTGCAATTTGCCCAAGGCTGTGCAGCCGGCTGGCTTTCCTCCCGGCAGGCACCTTTGGTTCTGCACCCAGATTCACTGAGCTATTCAGCCAGTTCTTACCTAGATTCCTTTTTAAAAAATTATTATTCGCTATAATTGGCCTGATAGAGCAAGGTTATAATTTCCACAGATATTCAGATCCTGCTTATGAAGAGAAGAGCATATATATTACATACTGTACATGTATGTATGCAAATGCATACACACGTAATTTCCTACCTTTTCGCCTTACCACTCTTAATGGAGGGATTTAGGGTTTTAGAAGAGCAGGAAAAGTAGGATTTTAAAATGGTGAGGTTGTTTTGACTGCCTGGGTGAGCAACAGCAGTTGGACTGTAACATGTATGATGATTTCCTTTCATAACCAGGTTGAGAGGGATGATAATTTTCTTACGTGGATTTTATCAAGCCATGTAAGCTCCCAGCAGCAGTGTGGTAGCTTAGAGAAAAATGCTGTTGAATTCATAGAGTGCTTTTTCTAAGGACCCAATTCAGACAGAGAGGGCAGTACCTCCATGTATGTGTGTATGTGTATCTATTTTCTGCTCTTTTTGTGTGTAGACATATATACATGTATGCTTCTCTATGTATGTATGTGTATATACATACAGTAGGAGCCCTGTATCTGCAGGGGATCGGTTCTGTAGCAGATGTTGGAAAAACAAGCTATTACTGTATAAAAGTGAATGTTCCCTCTCATGGCCAGTTCTGATAATGACATCGTGGAAATAGATTTCTCTAGCAAACACTATCTGTATTATCATCTCTGGATCTCCCATGTTCTGGTAACGTCATTGCTAATATAAATATATAGAATTCTTCTTTTAATATTTTCAGTCCGTGGTTAAGTGAATCAGCAGATACCGATCAGGCGGATGAGAGGGTCCTACTGTATCTCTTTGTCTCTTTTCCGTGCTTCGTATAAGATTTTAATTCTCAGCAGCATCCAAAAGTGTGTGTGGGGGGAAGCTGAAGGCAGCCCATCGTAGTCTTACCTCTCATTATTTTCAGACCATGGTTAAGTGAATCAGCAGATACCGATCAAGCGGATGAGAGGGTCCTACTGTATCTCTTTGTCTCTTTTCCGTGCTTCGTATAAGATTTTAATTCTCAGCAGCATCCAAAAGTGTGTGTGGGGGGAAGCTGAAGGCAGCCCATCGTAGTCTTACCTCTCATCGATTTATCACCCACATAGCTCCCCTAGATACATTTCTTTCGTCATGATAATTGAGGTGGAAGGAGAGGGCTGCTGTTATGAATCAGGTGGAGTTCAGGCATCGGAAGGGGAAATTTCCGTTTTAAACACCTTTAGCTATAAACACCATCTCCTTTAATAAAGCGACACGCGATTAAACAGCCACAGCAGCTCCTGTTGTCGTACTCAGTTGCCCAACGGAGAGGGAAAACATTGCGATATTGATAGGTCATACTTGAAAATGCCTCTTCTACAGCTCTTTGTTTTTCTACATAAACATTTCATCTTTGAAAACAGAATAAAGACTTTTGTGTTCTCTGCATAGGGTAAGAATGTGTAGAGATGCTTTTTTTAAAGAAGCAAGTATATTTGGGGGGGTGTAAAAAGTCTTTGACTGAAATACAGGGTGTTCCGAGGTCTGTTGGGTTGTGTTTTTCCCCCCTTTGATGTGTAGTAGGGGAAACGTGGGTTTCAGTTTTACAATAGAACGCACTGTGGATCAGTGCTTTTATTTGTACATAAAAGGGAAAACTTAAGTAGCCTGCATTTTTGAAGACAACATTGACATGTGCTGTGTATCGGATCACTTATTTCCATTTTAAAGATTATATTTTTGAGTAATGAAAACTGTACGCATTCTCACTACAGTTACTGGAGGCTACTTAGGAATAATTGCTTTTGACTCTAAAAAATGTAACTTGACTTCTTGACTGTTGTGTACTGCTTGCTATGTATTGTGTTAGCTCATTTTTACCCCTAGGTATTGGGTATGTGTTTATTTTAAAGGATTGTAAAAAACGGTGCAGTTTCTCTCTTCTCCTGACCCTGCCATTTAGCCAATGTTTCTTTCATATTTTGCAAATTAGTAACGTCTTGTCAACTTAGTTGGCTAGGATTTCCTCAAAGCTCTATAAAGGAAGGAAAAGGTGCTAAACCCATATGTCTTCTATTTGAATTTCATCACATTGCTCATATACTCCCTTCTTCCTTTCCACACAGCCTACAAAACACAATCGACTTGTGCCTTTTTGTAGATGTTTATTTGGGGGCAAGGGGAAGCTTCTAATTTGCAATATGACTTTTTAAAAGTTACTTGTTCTCGGCTCTGAGCAGTAATGGAAATCCATATATTGGGAATATGGTTTTGAATTACATCTTGTATTTGAAATAGAATACATTTTGGGTTATTGTGGTTGTTGGTTTTATTTTACGCTGCATTTCTCCTTGCTTTGGTCTGTATGAAATGGGAGAAGACACTTTTGGGCCAGCAAGAACAACCTACACATCATGGTTTTCAGACTGACGTTAGGCTGCGTGGTTCCATGCTGTGTGGTTCCCGAAACAACATTTTAAGCTAGTAAGATCTGAATGTCACTGAAATGAGGTACATGACTAATGATCGGGTTTCCATGAGTATTGGTGGCATAAATGGAAGTACTTTCTTTGCCCCGTATTCAGGCATTGAGTTTGGCCAGTGTATCTTAGAATCATCATCTTTGAACTACAGAGCTGGAAGGGAACCTATGGATTTTCGAGTCCAGCCCCTGTCAAGGAGGCACAGCGGGGAATCGAACTCCCAGCTCTGAAGCCAGAGAGACCTAAGCCAGTGAGCTATCCACAGACAGAATCACAAAATATTGCCTCTTTTATTCAGCCGTTACTGCTTCCCAGTATTCTTCAGCATTATGTAGCTGAGCTGTTTTACCTAGTTGGTGAGCAGGGTGAGTCAGGGACTATATCCGATGATACAGCGACCCATTCTGTGTGTTGATTCCCAAGGAAATGGGGGTGACAAGATTTGAGACAAAGACACAAAGGGAAAGGGCAGGCTCCAGGGCTAATACTGAAAATTGGCCCCGCATGCAATGCTATCAGTGATGCAAAATAGGGTTTCATTCCCAGAGGAACCAGGGGAAAGGGTTATGCCCCAGTATAGTGTCACCTCGGTCTGTCATCCCCAACAATATCTGCTATTTCTTTCTTTTCTTAGAGAGAAGGTGAAAGGCCAGAGACCCTCAACCACTGAGCTATCCACAGACAGAATCACAACACCTTGCCTGTGTTGTTCAGGCAACCCCTTCCTCCCCTCATCTGGTTTGGCTTTGTGTTGTACCTAAAGAGCTGCTTAAATGAATAAACCCAAATTAAAGCCCTAATAGTCAGGAGTGCTACTGGTCTTCTAGTGACCAGTCCCCATAGCTGCCAAAACGCTGCTAGTGGAGCCACGCAGAGTGTGTTTCTAGTGATCACCGTCAAAACAACACACCCTGAGGGTCGTGATATCCTTGGAAAAGTTGCTTTTTCAGGGGGTGACCTAAATCTTGCTGTATTTATATTTATAGTGTACCTCGCACACACCTTTAGGCTTGGCATGAGGCACACTGTCTCTGTTGCAGGCTGCCTGTATTTTTTTTTTTTAAATCCTTGTTGAATGCAGTTACGGAGTTGACTGCTTTATGCAAATAGAAATGATCAAGAGAACAACTCTTATTAAGCTGGTTTCCCGTCTGTTTCAAGGCCAGCAGTTCTATATTTTTAAAAGCCATAGGCCAACAATATCCGCTACATAGCTCGAGTGACAAATAACACACACTTCGAATACTGCATGAATACAGTGGAATGCAGTATCCATGGGGGACCATTCCCTCGCGGTGTGGGTGCGGGCGCCGGAAAGCATGGCTAGAGAAACACTTTATATAGCCAAGTCTTTGTTTCTCTCTAGTGGCCAGTTCTGACAATACACTTTGGAAATAGGTATTTCTTGTTTGGTTTTGGTTTTTAATAATTTTAGGCAGTGGATAAGAAGCCACGGGTGCTGATCCTGCGGATATGGTGGTCCTTAGTTAAGCAGATGGTTCAGCCAATATAGCATCAGTTTCTGGCTGTTCAGAGTCATTAAAATATTTGATTTACTACTTGTGCCACTGTGTTTAATCAACTATAATATTGTGATCTTGTTACCTTATAGCTTGTGAAAGGTACATGAAGCACCAAATCCGTGTGGAACTTGGGGTAATGAAGCTGGATTCATTAAATTATTTTAAAAATAGTATTTAAAAGACATTGTAAAACTGTTAACTGAAGTACAACTGGAAATCCAAGTTGTCTTGTCATTAATAAGATGTTACTGAATGAATTATGTTCTCTTTTATTTTGGACATACAGTTTTGACTTCTGAAGATGCTCTTGTATTCTTCCCCGCCCCCATATTTGAAATGCTTCTCACTGGTAATGTTTTTTATTTCATGTTTGAAATATAGTTTAATGGAGTGTCTCATTCTTTTGTGTTTCCATCGCATCTCGTTTCCCCACCTCTGCTTGTTATAATTTAGATGGAACTTCTTTCCTTTTGAAATTTTGCAAAATGTGACCATAATATGTCTACCTTAAAAAAAATGTCATGTTCAGTTCCTAATCCCTTTCCCCAATTTTGCTGAAGCACAGGGTTTGCTACATTAACATTTTGATAATTCTCGCACTTCATGGCTCGGCAGTATAAAAAAAAAACATGGATGTGATTGAGGCTGTTGTATAAGAGTCCTCCATTTTGTTACCAGGTTTTGGAAAATAAACTTTGGCACAAAGCAACTTCCGTGTGTGTTTAATATCTATTGAAATGAAAATCTCCGGTTTGGGCAATGAAATATTGTTCCTCTGTCATCTCAAGTGCACAGTTTTCTTCAATGCCGTGGTGAATTTAAGGATCATCGGCCATGATGAGTGAACAGAAGTGCTCTTTGAAAAGTTTCAGGTGTTTTCAGTGTCACGGTTTTTAGTGTGGCAAAAGATCCAAGTATGGCTTCGTTCGAAAATTAAAAACTAAATTATCAATGGGGCAATGTTTTGTTTAGGGCTAGCTAAATATTCGGTAATCTCTCAGACCGTTTCTGGACATATGTTGTTCTGAAGACTGGCATCGGCTTTGCTTTTGCTTACAGGTCGCCTTTCTCACTCTTAATTCATAGTCCATTTATGCTACATAAACCTGACCCATCACTGAGAAAGAAGACAGGTTTCTGAAGCTTTTATGCACAAGCCAGACAGCTTCAAATTCCCATCTGTAGTCAAAGTAATACCTGCCCATACTTCTTTGTGTGTTGTGGAAGGACCACACAACTTTGTTCTTTTTAAGGAAGTAGTGCCTCGCTAGACAATGATAATCCATTCCACTAAAATCGCTGTATAGCGAAATCATCATCTAGCGAAAAGCATTTCCCCATTGGAATGCATTGAAACCTGTTTAATGCATTCTAATGGGGAAGAATCGTCATTGTCTAGCGAAGATCGGCCATAGGAAAGCCACTTTGTGTTTAAACCCCTGTCTTGCGAAGCTTAGGTCCCGAAAACACCTGTTTGCGAGGGCGGAGGGAGCTGTCAAAATCGTCGTCTAGCGAAAATCGGTTTGCGAAGCAGGGACCAAACATTGTCCAGCGAAATTCCCCCATAGGAATCAATGTTTTGCGAATCGCTATAGCGATCGCAAAAAGTCAATGTCTAGCGAAAAAACTGTCATGCGGGGGTAACAGTCTAGCGGGGCACCACTGTACCTGCCCTTGCTTTTTTTGTGTGTCCACACAGCTTTATTCTTTTTAAGGAAGTAGAAAAAGGGCAGTAAGCAAAGAGGAGGGCCTGCCTTTGTTGCACTTCTGCAGAGTTATGGGAAGCGACGAGAACAGGGGCCTGCCCTAGACGTTTCGTACTTAATTGCCCGTATCATAAATCAAAGCCTTCGTCCCACCTGCGTGTGTCACCCGCTTAGGGCAGCAGGGCTTTAGGGTTCGGGTATGAAATCACCAAAGGCAGGCAGATGGGACACCCACGGGTCCCCAGGTGAGCCACTGAAAGGACAAAGCCCTGACAATAAGTGGGTAGGGACGGAGGGAGGCGGGGGGAAAAAAAGCCGTGGAAGTCCGGGTCAAGCCGTTCAAAAATGCACAAGCGGGCGCACAACTGGTGCAACGGGCGTGCAAGCCCCAGAGGCCACCCCCTCCTAGTGCAAACGGGGAAGGATGCCACTTCTTTAACTGCCCAGCATCTGGGGACGGCGGAGGGGGTCTTGGGCACGGTTTCCTTCTCGCCCCCCCCCGCTGCTCTCACCCTTCCCCTTCTACACACACACACACACACACACACACACACACACACACACACACACACACACACACAGTTTCCCCCTTCCACATTTGGAAAATAATATTGGATGAACAGTATCATAAGATAGATAGATAGATAGATAGATAGATAGATAGATAGATAGATAGATATAGATACACACACACACCCCACCCATTGAGACAGATGGGAGCCCCGCCCCTTTCTCCTCTCAGTCCCCTCCTCCCTCCTGGCCTCCCGCGGCCAATGGGAACGCCCGGCCCCGCCTAGGCGTGGGCGGAGACTCCCCGGAAGGCGCTGAATCGGCCCGACTCGGGCGGCCGGCCGGGCTTCCTCCAGCGCGCATGCGCGTCCCTAACGGGCTCTCGCTCGCTCGCTCGCTCTCCCTCCCTCCTCTCCTCCCCAAGATGGCGGCGGCCAGGAGCGGCGAGGCGGTCTGTGGCGATGGCCCGGCGGGAGGCAGCGGCGGCGGCCCCGGCGCCCTCAAGAGGACCCACCTGGGCATCCCGGAGGCCGTCTTCGTGGTAAGCCTTCAGGCGGGAGGAGGAGGAGGAGGAAGAAGAGGGCCGGCTTCGTCCTTCGCTCTCTCTTTCTCTCCCTCAGGGGTGGACCAAGGGGGCCC